GTACTTCGGGATATATCAGCAAAAGAAAGTGCGACTTGTTGTCCAACTGCTTGCTATTTTGGCGTAATTCTGAGTTTGTATGCGCTATACGGGTGCTGTCCCCCTGAGACAAGGCTCCATATGTTCGACCATAAAATAACTACAAATAATCTATATCTGTCAATCTAGGTGTCAGTATGAAGGGCACGCGTTTCTCTATCAATTGATGTAAGTTTCATATCCATACTTGCAGTACTTCAAGAAATATCAGCAAAAGAAAGTGCGACTTGTTGTCCAACTGCTTGCTATTTTGGCGTAATTCTGAGTTTGTATGCGCTATACGGGTGCTGTCCCGCTGAGACAAGGCTCCACATGTTGGAGCATAAAATATTTAAAAATTATCTAAATCTTTCAATGTAGGTGTCATTATGAGAGGCACATGTTCCTCTATCCATTGATGTAAGTTTCATATCTATACTTGCAGTACTTCAAGACATATCAGCAAAAGAAAGTGCGACTTGTTGTCCAACTGCTGGCTAATTTGGCGTAATTCTGACTTTCTTTGCGCTATACGGGTGCTGTCCCGCTGAGACAAGGCTCCACATGTTGGAGCATAAATTATTTAAAAATTATCTAAATCTGTCACTCTAGGTGTCAGTATGAAGGGCACTTGTTCCTCTATCCATTGATGTACGTTTCATATCCATACTTGCAGTACTTCGGGAAATATATGCAGAAGAAAGTGCGACTTGTTGTCCAACTGCTTCCTAATTTGGCGTAATTCTGAGTTTGTCTATTCTATACGGGCGCTGTCCCGCTGAGACAAGGCTCCACATGTTGGAGTATAAAATATCTACAAATAATCTAAATCTGTCAGTCTAGGTTTCATTATAAAGCGCACATGTTCCTCTATCAATTGATGTAAGTTTCATATCCATACTTGCAGTGCTTTAAGAAATATCAGCAAAAGAAAGTGCGACTTGTTGTCCAACTGCTTGCTATTTTTTCGTAATTCTGACATTGTTTGCGCTATACGGGTTCTGACCTGCCGAGACAAGGCTCCACATGTTGGAGCATAAAATATTTAAAGATTATCTAAATCTGTCAATGTAGGTGTCATTATGAAGGGCACATGTTCCTCTATCCATTTATGTAAGTTTCATATCAATAGTTGCAGTAATTGGGGAAATATCAGCAAAAAAAGTGCGACTTGTTGTCCAACTGCTTGCTATTTTGACGTAATTTATTTAATTATTTTGACGTAATTAAAAATTATCTAAATCTGTCAATCTAGGTGTCATTATGAAGGGCACATGTTTTTCTATCCATTGATGTAAGTCTCCTACCCATACTTGCAGTACTTTGGGAAATATCTGAAAAAGACTGTTTGAACATGCTGCTCGACTCGACACAACAGTGTGTGAAGAAATTACAATGATGGTGTTTCTCGGTAAATAAATGCGAATTCCGAGCTTTGCAAATATGTTTCTACATCCTGACTCCTTTGAAACATCATGCCAACACTATTAGCAGTTCTGTTTAGTGGAAATTGCGAAATCATGCTTATCTTTTTATATGCATCCTTGATGCCTTTAGGAGTAATGCATAGTTGTGTGAAAACATGACTTGTTTATTCTATGTTGGAATCAGAAATACGTGGATAAATGACAACATTTGCAATATTTGTAACGAAGACATCATGAAAACTGAATAAAATATTCCTTTATTACAAAAACCAACTAATACTCTGCGAACATTAAATGAGTTTCGGACAACCAAAGGAAGTTAAAAGACAAACTTACTAGCTTTTTAAAAGAAATATTTTCATTTCATGCGCGCAACTTGTGGGCGATGTCTACAAACAGCCTCCTGATCGAATGGTGCATGTCGTGCCCTTACAGCAAATACACAAGTTTTGAATGTAAAACATGACGTTGCATAAATCGTCACCGTTTTCATGAAGAGGCAAATTGGCCCCTCATGATTTTTTTTGTTCAAATTTATGTTTTTTTTTGGGAAAAATCAACCAGGCTCGTTTTGCAGTTTTCGAGAATCACTTTGACTCCGGAAATGTATAAACATACAACAACTTTCGCACCTCACACGCGCCATGTCAAAAGCGTGTACTTGTCACACAAATTTTATAGTTTTTTATGAACAGATTTTAATTGACTTTAATTGACTTAAATGCGATCGTCTCAAAACCTCGGTTTTTACTCTCCGGTGAGACGTCTATATCTTTGTAAGACTGTGACAAAATGTGCCTATTCATTGTGAGCTACAGTAATATGAATATATAGCGTCCCAACAAACCATGTACAGAGCTTACATTTAGTACCACACTTTGCATCTAGGACTTCTTCTCATATAGCTCCCAAGTGGACAGTTGAACGCACTTGTGAAGTCTTCGTTGTTTTGCAAAGGACCAATGACTCTACCATAAAAAGAAGGGAAACGTCTTTTGTCAAAAACAAAAGCTCACAAAGCTTGTGACATGTGACCTGTGCCTGTGGTTACAAAATAATTATAAATCAATTATTTATGTTATTTGAATGAATATTAGGGGGTGTGTTGGTGGAGGTATGCGGATGATTACCAACCTGAAGCGATTAGGACTGTGCACCCCGAGTTTAACCTGTTGGTCTGCCCCTGCACGCGTCGTTACACCGCACCACACCTACAAGCACAATCAGATGCTTTAAAGATCAGTCACATTGGAAATTCACAATTTGACTTCTTATGAAATTTAGTTACATCTAAAACAATCTATTACGTAACTGACGTCAAATGCACGAGTTGAAGTTCTCCTTCACATCAGGCACAATGAAACCAAAATTTGTCAGGAGCATCCAACTGTATCTTGTTTTGATGACGTCACACTGCATCGTTTATACGACTGTTTCGTTATTTGCGGGGTGAACGCGCCTGCGTGCGTGAGTGCTGTGCTTGCTCGAACCATAGATATCAGAAGAATCAAAAACTAGATCGGAATTGCGTGCTCGCAAGCCATTGCTAGTGCAGAGAATTTCTAGCTGTGCATGGACGTGGTAAAAAGTCACGTGAACAGGGCGACGGGTAATGGGCAAAACGCACTCTAGAAAAATGAAGCAAAGATAAAAAAAAAACTGTACAATAAGTCTACATAGCACATTTTTTGGTCTTTTGGCATTCATTATATGCAGCCGATACTGCCATTTAATATTTAAATTCGATCCCTATACGTGTATGTTACGGTATATATCAAAATATACAAAATAGGGCTTAGTGTAAATCTATCTTTCCTTTGTTTTACACAAGGAAATGTACACAAAAAATCTGTGAAACGGAGGGCCAAATCTAAGGTTCTTCTACTAATACTGTAACATCTCATTCTGTACAACGAACTTTTGCACAAGCGCTATATAACATTCTGTGTTTTTATTGAGTGTTGAACTTTTCCGCTAGGCATAAAATGTGAGCATACGGTATATTATGTGAATTTTAATTAGCAGTGTCACGACAATTCATCCCAGAAGTTTAAGTACACCGGCCAATTACATGGCTTGAAGTGCACCACAACTGAAAACGAAGCTTTCGGATCATTGTTGTACTCAATCAGGATTGCTTGTTGATCTCACATTGGCCAGGCCATGTTCACAAGAATAAAATCACAACAATGATAAGAAGAAACACGAACTAGTTTTCATTATGTTGAGGATCAGAACAAAAAAGCTTAATGAATGTCACTTAGACTGTATAGGTTGGATGCTGTACGAGTGGAACAAAGACTACGTGAGTATGGAGGCTTTGCTGCACCAGTTTTGCTGGAACACAGCAGAGTACAATGATGCAATGGGGATTTATTGTCTTTTGAAAAGCACCAGTTTGGAGTACAGTCGTCTGGTTTTATTTCCTTCAATGGTATGATCTGATTTTCAAGTATTGATCTGCCACTTGCCGCATCAGATCAATTCCGTGGCTGGCCTCACCAGTCAGGGCATCCCAGGCATGTTCCGAGGAAAGGTACCCATTACTTCCAACCATCTCCTGAACTGTGCGACATACCATTACGGAGAGCAGGGGCATTGAAGAGGGCCGCTTGCTGTCATACAGGCAAAACACCCTCTGCAGCTTTGCACATATGCACTACTAATACGTCTCAAGATAGGTAGATAAGGCCCCGTTATCCCTGAGATTTATCAGATGAAGATCTAAGTTGGGAGCCAGACCGATCGATTGTAGCAAAAGGGAATCCACGCACTTGACGCACTGGATCATTATGAAACCTGTGAGTGTGACCGGAGATAGAATAGCGGATGGCATAGTGGTTGAAGTATCAGGCGCTTATAAGGCAGTACCGAACTCACCATTCCGGTGTCATCTTGGCTTGTTGCATTGGTGTTGGAAGATGGGCTAATGTAACACTTCAGAAGTTGTCTATATGCATGTCTGTTCTGTGAAGCATCCCCAACGTAAGTTAAAAACCTTTAACATGCATAATAGGTTATAAATGTCTCACCTGAACTGTGCGACGGAGGAATTATTGCTGTGTCGACCTCTGCCCCTAATAGCACCAAAAAATTTAATGTGATCTTGGCTGCATTTATAGGTTAGCAGGTAACTGGAAAACAAAAACCCAACTGATGGGATAAGTTGAATTGCTTATATGACGTATTAAGGGCTAAGTCACATCAAAATATACCTGACCTAGGTACAAACACAAGTTGACGAGGTACCTGAGGTTGGTGCTGACATATGTCAGAAAACATGCCAATATGATTGATCTGTTGTTCACAAGGAAGCCAATTATTGCTGTTTTGCGAACAGTGGAACGCCATCTTTATCACCGACTTTCATCAAGTGGTTGTTAGCCCCCTCCAGAAATGGTTGCCACAGATGTTTATTTTGTAGTGCCTTGAACCCCTTTGCAAAAGGATTCTTTACATTGTAGATATCCAACCATCCACAAAACACATACGCTTCCAGTTTAGAAAACTTAAATTTGATGTACATGTCAATCGTTGTAAAGAATTTGACGGTTGCCTCGCAGTTATGAAAGTCCCGGTGTCATAAATCTCTCATAAACTCCAAGCTCGTCGCGACAGAATTACTAAAAGTATGCACTGCCAGCGAAATCTTCACTTTTTTCTTTCCAAGTGGATATGAGCTGAAAGACATTTGTTTGCTACTCTTAGCCCTTCGTCGTGTTGGGTCTTTTCGAGGCTTTCAAGAAATTGCCAGCAAACTGATGTGAAGAAGAAAACACGAAATACTATTGCACATGGAATGCATTTTGACAATCGATCATGGATTTTGACAAACGTAAATAGTAAATCTTGCATGAGCATGAGTAAAACATTTAAGACATACAATATGAAAGAATTTCACCGTCAAGTAACACTTTCCACGAGGCAAACAAATTCCGCATCCACTTCAACATGTGACAGGTATTAAGTATAAACCATATTTTGATGTATGGCTCGCAGGGATGTGGAAACCATGGTTGAATACAACATTCAACGATGAATGCATCCTTGCGCCAAGAATTTTAACGGTTGTGAGGTTAGCATCAAATCCATCTTCTGCATTCCGAAGAGCCGAAAATGAGAAATAAAATTAACGTTCATTTGACATGACGGAAAGCTCGTCAACACTCCTCGACATGTTTAATTGCACATTTTCTGTTTTATTTTTTGGGGAGGGGGGTTGGACCTAGTAACCTACCAGTCAGGCAAACGACTGTTACACCAACATACCATAGGAGACACAGGGCCTCAGTAATGAGTTTAGCCTGGGTGTTTGCACTCTTTCCCGTTACAGTATTAATGGGTAACTTCCAGTGCCTATTCACTGCCACAACCATCAAGACAACGCACTGCGTAGCAGGCTGGGAGCTCATGCTGATTGTACCGTAGGTCTTCGTACCATGAAGGATAACATAACATGAAACTGGAATCTCAGCACAGCCCTTTTGTCGTGTGTGTGATAGAGGTCGATTGCATCTAATTTCGAAGAACAAGCATAATTGCCTACCCCACATATCTTGACCCGTCAAATTCTATCTGCTGTCGAGTGCTCATTCCATCGATCATGAGACCCACAAGTGTCTCGCTGTTAGAAGATTCTTGCTTCTCCTTTTTGCTGTTGAATGCCTTCTGGGGTTAATCCGGGGTTGGAGTCGGTCTTAGCTAACCAACTCCTAACTCTACGTACCGTTGGGAAAGGTACTGTTTTTCTTATAATTTCGTAATCTTTTGTCGAGCAGTAGTAAAGGTTCAATACAAAGTTCCTTATCTGAGGGCCATATGGTCGATTAGAGTTGGAAGAGATGAACTTTTTGCGAGTTCAAAATGCAGGTTTGTGAACTTTGACTGGATTAGTTGAACCTTGTCATCGGGAACAAGTCGTTCCTTTTTCAGACTGCGAACGATGTCCTTCACAGATGCAAACTTGGTTGTTAGCTGCAGGTTTGCCCCTCTGGAACTGCTTGTTTTCTTTCTCCAGCTGGGCGATTCGCTCCTGAGCTTGCTTAAGAATCAGCGTTTGAGGATGCATGCATGTTCAGCCATCAAGTGCTCGGGGGAGCCAGACTCCTTATCAGAGACGGGTCTTCCACAGGAGGGATTTTCGTCTTCTTCTTCTTCGTTGGTGGATGATGTCCAAGCTAGAGACAGTAATTTGGCTGGCAAAAAAATGACAGTTAAAGAAGGAAAACAGTGAAACTGCAAACTTTATTCCATGCTTACGTAAACATCAAATCGCATTACTTAACTAATGCGTTATTGCAAAGTACAAATTTTTATACGGGTGTATCAAGGATATTATGAAAACGACAGTTAACAGGGATGGTAAAGAACATTTGGACTGCTTGCTAATGCCTCCCATAAGCTGCGGGTTACCAAAAATATAAAGTTTAATCAGCAGAGGCTGGCAAGAAGCAAGTAAGTTGGATCGAGGTCAACAACTTGCGCATTTTTACTCAATAAGAAAACTCGAACTTACTCATGAAAGGTCAGTTTTCCTTTTGACTGTCCTCCTGGTTCTTGTCTTAGATTGCTACTGTGGGAAATTGGTGCAGCTCAATTGGCCACTGTTATTTACCATAAAACTTTATTCAGATCGCCACAATCAAAGCATTTTCTGCGCGAGAAGACCGGCACGAACGAAGCTTAGTCAAGTTAGTGGAGGCAGAGAGGACGTTCATCACGCTAGTATTCTGCTTACTTAGGATTTTAACCCTGTTCATGTGACCAATGGCCGCGCCCTGGCAAATGCGCGTATTTTACACGCTCCCGATCTAGCCGTTTATTCTTCCGATATCCATAGGCTCGAACTTAACGGTGAACTAAAAGAGATCGACTTGGATTTGCTTTACATCTGCTCTGTTTTACATGAAAAATAATCTAAAGAAACAAAATGACGATGAAATTGATATCGATCGATCATAATTCACACGTTGGACATTTAAAAAATATAATCCACGTTAACGACTGGATTGTTTTCTGTAAATCCAGAAACATCCATTCTTATTTTCAATATACACAAGCCCAAAGGCCTCAAAATTCTGTAATGGGCATTTTCCTCTTTCACTTTATAAAATTTGCATTGACACTGGAACTTCCAACTGCTTCACCATTTCATCGCAAGACAAATGTTTGGCAGTATACAGCGTCCTTGTTTACCTGAAAGAAGAATTAGAGCGCTTTTTGTCACGTTTTGAAATCATAAATCACTCCAGAAAAGTACAGCTTTTTTTCTTTTTTGACATACCTGTGCATAGGATAAGAAGAACATTTGTTCATCAGTGAGATTCTGTAGTCCAGGAAGCTGTTTCCGTACATAAGGTGCGTTATCTTCGTAAGCCTAATTAAAATGGGAAAATATAAGTGCAGGTGACTTTGAGACAACAGTTTATGTGTCCTGGGCTTCTCTCTGTGTTTAATTTTTTGCCGATATATGTTGATTCGGATTTGTCATTTCCATGAACAGCGGGTTGGAAAAACTGTGCTCGTACTTCCTTCCTTTTGGGATTTCACCAACCGAACCAAATTTTGACTGTGAGCTGACCTTGGGGTTGTTTGGGGGGGTCACCCAATTTTTCCCCCGGCTGTGCTATTACCTTGTACGCCTCTCTCAGCCCGCCATTATCAGCAGTGTTTTCTGCCTCAGTCCGCTTCCCGTTTAACTGAAGGAGAAAGGACATGTAGCTGATCTTGTTTTATGTTTCGTAACTCCTACGGTTCAGGGAATACTTGTCATGACTGTCCAGTGATGTGACGATTGGGTTAGGCGTAATGAATAAAAGACAAATGTTCGAAATTTTACTCCATGACAATACTCGATATGCCATTCATCTAATGGTCAAATGGAGCATGATAAAGCTAAGCTTAGATTTAAAGGTCAATAACTTCAACGTGTAGTGTATGCAACCCCTACAGTCCGTTTCATGGAATCCATACCCTAATTAATATCTTACATTTTTGCCGTTCTCGGGAATGACGTAGTCGGAGTACTGGTCCACCAAACAATTGGCTGCCTTTACGTAATCTAAGACAGACATGTAGCTCCACCAGACTTTGAAGTTTCCGTCTTTGTCAAAAAGTCTCCCTAGTAAAAAAAGAATCGATATCATACTACAGTGAAAGGCTCGGTTTATGAACATATTTTCAAAACGTAGCGATTCTAATTCACTGTCGACCCATACTGTGCCAGTTAGCTGACCGTGTCGGCTCATCGGCTGACCATTTTTTGTTATACGTCATCGAGCTTTCCGGTATGGCTGCTAATCGGTCAAAATTTGAAGGTTAGGCCTAAGAGGAGCCGTCCAGTGTTATAAATCGCCATATCTGCTCAGGTATCAAAGACGCTTGTATACAATTCAAACGGCTAATCCAGTTACTGTGTCTACCGTACCGCAGACTAAAGGGTCAGTCTACCTCCTGACTCTAGTCTGGGGTTGCGTGTACCCCCGTGGTTGGGTCCGAATTAATCGGTTATGACTCGAGATAGCATGCGCGTCTGTTAGTGGAAGCCGCTGGAGGAAGCATCTGCACTGTAGGTATTTCCAGTAACGAATTTAACGTATTGCGGACACTATATGAGGGCGCTGTTCGTGGGCAGATCCAGAACCATTTTTGGGGGGAGGGACAAAATTCGGGATTTTTTTTCATGTAAACATGGCCTATTTTAAGGGATGGAGCTACATTTAGGGGCTTTTCACACACTTTTGGTGAGGGAAATGAAAATAGCCCCCCCCCCAAAAAAAAAACTTAACTCTCATTATTAACAATTATTTTCAGTTCCTTTGGGGACATCTCCCCTGGAAACGCCCTTTGGCTGTTTGGTTTGGGTAGGGTTTTTCGTATTCAATCAAACATTTAATTTCTGACTTCAAACAACGGTCTCTTATTGTCTGTCCTAACTCATACTGCAAGTGTGACTCGCTGCTCAGTGGAGCAAGTTTTAACTATACCTTTGCTGTCGAAACCATGTGTTATTTCGTGCCCGATAATCGCTCCAACGCCTGCATAATTTGAGTACCTGTGTGGAGAAAAGTACCACGAGGTATTTTTACAACAAGACGGCAAGATTTGAGGGATTCGGAACTAATACCTCCCCATGGAACCCATTCCGCACACCTACTCCTCCACCGGCGAAAATTGTTTCCAGGATGTATTTGAAAAGCGATTTGAGTGTGTGAATGTGTACTTAGAGGGGAACTGAGCGCAGAAGGGTGCCAAACGACAGCACCCTCATTTTCTCCATGCCAGCGGCCCGCCCAGGAGGAGGGTGAGAATTATATATTCCTTCCTATCTTTCCAAATAAGACGATGATGACTAGTCCTCTCAAACACATACCACGGCAGGTCCGGATGGTAGACGGGTGGTTGGAGGATACCAGCCGGGATAACTGAGGAAATAAATTAAAGATAAAAAGCCAAAAAGACCGTCCATATCAATTTGGATTATGTTTCTTACTGATTTGTCTCTCTAAAAAAATGAGTCAAGGGGTGATTTAGCAGATGTTAAAAATAGAGTGTATAATGTCTGTAAACAGTACCTATTCCGTTGTCCAAAAAACTGTAGAAGGCGTTTGTATCAGCTGGTGCAGTGTAAATCCACCTGTTATACAAATGTAAAAAGTCAAAGTCGGTGAAGGCTAACTGAATCTTCTCTCGGCAGGGAATGTACTACATGTCTATACCTTGGCATTTCCAGTTTGTCTCAGGCTATAGATGTTTTTGAAGGTAATTTACTTCAGGGGAGCACAGTGACATATAATTACGTTAAAAATGTTTTCAATTATGTTGCAGCGTTTTCTCAATCATAACTTTGAATCATATGATTTTGACACTGTTAGAAATGTTAGAATCCGATGGGACGAAAATCGTACACGTTCTTGACCTACGCCGCGTTCATTATGCCAAAATATTAACATCCAGCCTTTTGCTCTGCGGGACAAACTGCAACCATAAGGGTTCGATCTTCCTGCGCTATGTTGGTTCCCATTATGCCTTACTGAGTAGAGTCAGTTGGGGGATGGAACGAGGCTGGGTTAGAAGAATTCCCACCAGCCCGTATCTTCTTTGACGGTGAGGGTGCACTTCAATTCGGGGGTGATATAGTCAGCTTCTATTTATACTTGACGCTTTCAAAATACGAAACGCCAGTTCTTAAATCCAGCTGCAAACCCAAAATTACTGTCTTTTCTCGAAAATATACCATATTCACAAAGCTAAAGCTTCTGCGGGCTAAGTTCCAAGCACTAATCTTGAAAAATAAGAGTACATGCGCATAAGAGTACATGCACAACTGACGAAATGTCTATTCCTTAACGGAACTTGTGCAGCAAAGATCAAGTTAAGGCCAGTTCATACTTAAAGCAAATGCGAAAGCAAAACGACTTTGGCGTCACTACAAATTTGCAACAAAATCTGTTAAACTTTTACGAATTTTACGAATATTTGATCTGACACTTACAAGGATTTATCGACAGGGAGTCGCAGGCTGCCAAGTTTCCTCTGCGCTTCCCTCCTGAGATAGTTTAGAAAATTGATGAAGTACGTGTTGCTTGTGACAACTAGCTGCAAGAAATGATGCAGGAAAAATGTTGATTTTACTCTGATAAAGATCGGCTACAAGGAATTTGTTTATAAGTTAGTTGGGTTTGCAGACAATTCAATACAGGAAACAAATTGTAATTTGTAAATACTATGGATAATAATATAACTGACTCCAATCTTACTACTTGCTCTTGTCTTTTTTGCTACATAACTATCGGTGTTGAAACAGATAGGGAATATTATCGTGCGTCCAAGCTTACCAATCCGTGTGTGTAGTTAAAAAAAATTAACACCATCAAAATTTGCGATGAACAATAATACATACATCGGCAGATTTGGCATCGAGCGTAGCGTTAACCTTCAACCAATCTGGGTAGCCCACGTTGACCTTCATAGCATCAAGCTGTGTTAAAGAAAATGCATACACAGACTTCATCACAGCTGAAATGTACGGTGTGCAACGCCCAACCTTCTGGAGTCATTACTGAGGCTCCTTTTTCAGTTGGACAGGATTTTCTTTGTCACAAACCATAAAAAGGGTGTGTCCCTGTCCTCGGTGGCTATTCTATTATCCTCGGCAGTAAGTATAAAATGCATTTCTGCGGTGATATAGCAAAACACACTGTGTGTTCTAATTAATATCTTTTTTTTGTTGCGTGTCTCTTCCTTGGTTTTTGCTTTCCCGCTTTTTTTTCTTACTTTCATTTATTCCCCAATCCCAGCCACCTGCTAAAAAGCATCAAAAATAGTGTTTTCGTAATCAGTGGTCCCAATTTTCAACAACCTTGGTAAATGGCTACATGGCTAACAAAATATTTGCGCGTAGAGCAGTAAGTACCTTTTTCTGGGTCTTCGCCCTGTCACTGTAAGACAACCAACTGACCCGCTCCTGCATGGCCCTCAGGGCTCTCCTAATGTTACTAATTATTTGCTCTATCTGGGAGAAAATGCGGTTGAAAAAAATGAGAATAATAGTAATATTTATTCATAATGCTACACAAATTTAATTTATACGTTTCATAAACAATAGAAATGCAAATTTCATGTGCCACAACCAGGTGCTTTGTTTCCTCTCTATTTTTTCAAGGGTGTACAGTCTTCTTTCCATGGAGTCACTAGGGTCGTTCTCTTCTGTTTCCTTCCTGGCGTTATCTCTTCTTCATTGATATGACCGTGGCTATATGTGTAACTGCATGATGTTGTTGCTTCCTTGCTTCCACATTGCTCCACTACCCTACCTCTCTCTTGGTGTCTAGTGTGAAGTATTCGTCCACGTACATCCTTCCAGTAGCAAATGGTAGTACGAGATTGGTTTCATCAGTGCAGTGCATCCAACGTGCACGAGCCTCCGAGAGCCCAAACGTAGCATGTAAATACTTCTGATAGATTCTGGTATACCGGTCTCCAAGAGAGGGCACCATTACGCTCACAAGTCGCCAGATCATATAGTTTGCCACCACCCTACCGTATCCGCACAAGAAAAAAAAAGCTCTCTGTCTGTCTCAATGACTGTGTGAGGCTTGATAAACCAAATGACTGTTTTTCAGTGGGTTCAAATTCTCGTTTGTGTCCTTTTTTTGAACCGTAATCTACTAATAATGTAACTCATCCAACATAATAGTTTGTTTCTGAGGAAAACTAGTAGGCCCAGGAACATTACGTGAAGGGCGATTGGCGAGATATCGGTGCTAAGTGATGCACAACTCGTGATTTTTATATCAAGGAATTATGCTAAAAAGTATTAGAACTTCAACTTTTCTGATAATACCATTCCTCTTGCAGGCAAAAAAAGTTCAGTTCTGTCATGTTTGTGTGTGAAGCACAATTACATTTTGACATGAATGTTTAACCACTTGTCCAAATATATGTACGACACACTGTTAATTGACAACTGTTTCTCTTTTTAGCCGATCGATATAAATAATAAATATTATTCACCTGTGACTCTCCGACCCCAACATTGTGTTGACAAGGTAAAGATAGGATGGGTCAACGACGACGATGGGTTCATTTCCCAAAACGGGTGGCTGCACGCTTGATGGAATGAGATGATGGTAGAGGTTTGCCCAGTTGATCTGCAAGGCAGAAAGGATTAGTGAGGCTGGTTGGTATAGTATAATGTTTTGTACTCGAGATAAAAGGGCCACGCTTAAGTCCTTTGCTCGCTTTTGTGCTCACTTGTTTTCTTTCTTTTAAATGGAGTGCCCAAACTTTCGTAATCCCGTACCCCCTTCAATTCTTTTCCGCTTGAATACGATTTCATGTTAAAACGTCTGGAGAGTAAGTTACAGCTCTCACTGAAAAGTCGACTAAGCAAAAGGGTCTCATTCAACAACCAGAATTAAAGGCCATAACTGCAGTGGCACAATGCTCGCGGACAAAGTTCCGCCCGCGATACATGCTTCTTTAGCTATAGAGTGTCGTGATTTGTCGTTAAATGCACCTGTGCGTCACGCTAAATGTGCGTGTGAGTGCAGTGCCTCCGCATTGTCCGGACATTGGTCTATGGACCTTTCCGATAAGACGCCGTAACTGCAGTGGCACCACACTCACACGCACATTCCTCGGCATGACGCGCGCGTGCATTTGGCAAATCACGACACCCCATTGGTCGAAGAGGAACGTAACATGGGCGTATCACCTGTCCACGAACGTTGCCCCGCTAAAAAGTAAAAAGGGATGCTGCAGAAAAGGTAATTTCCAAAAATTAAGCAAGAATGTGTGCTCTCTTTTCCACCATGTTATTCGTTATAAATGAGTCATTTTAGCGGTAAACCTTTGTGTAATATAACTGAAGCTCCTCCAGGGTTGTTATCTCAGGTACGTCTCTGGTAGTGGAGTAGTCAGCGTGCTGTGGGGATAAAACCGCGTTGGTACTTTGAGCCATACAATTGGGAAAAAGCAGTTGACAGAATTTGCATACAAACTGGAAAAACCGACACAGGGCAAACTTCAAAATGGAGACACTTCAGTAATTTTCTGATTCATGGGCGTAAATCACGGGGGATCGGGTTATATATCTCCACTTTTAAGGTGAGGAATGGGCCATTGAATAAAAAAAATCTAAGCAGTTTGTGAAGAATATTAAGGATTTCCCAGCGACTAAAATAACTGCAAATAGGTAAACATTTTTAAAGCCATAAATATGCCATTCTAATGAAAAGATTTTGTATAAATTTGATACACATTGCAGATATATATTTTAATCATGAGCATCGCCCCCTTTATACGTATACCCACCCCCGCTTTTCAAATTTCTATGACCAGGTAAGTCCTCCCTCCACCTTTCCCTTTCCCCCACCCCACCAATTTCCAATTGGCAGCACAGATTTACGCCTGATCCTATTGGTGGTGCACAGGGCCAGTTCATCCTTTAAGACAAAATGTCACAACCAAGGGCATTTGGCGCACGAAAAATGTTTACAGCAAAATACGCGGAGTTGAAATGTGTTCATTTCCACCTATTATGCACAACACACATATTGGGTCTGATTTCCAGTTTTATGGCGTTTATGTTGACTTTCGCAGTATGAATGGCCTTGGCATGTCCTCTGAACTCAGTAAACACATGCTATTTATTGAATTAATTAATTTATTTATTTATTTATTGGGTTTATTTATCCCAACATGTTACTGATAACGAATCACTGCCCATTGTGGGTGAATGCGATGTGTAAGTTAGTTTTAATGGACATGATAAACGGTCTTTTATGACAATTGATTTACACATGCATTGGATCATGATCAAGAAAGAGTGTTGTAATCTTACCCGCGCTAATGTCTTCTCGAACTCAAGCACATCGCTCATATCTTTCCTTGCCTCCGTTTGATCTCCGCCCAGAGCCACGGCAATGTCAACCATATACCGGAGGTAGGCTGCTCTTTGCTACAAATAAAAAGGCAATAGATTGTGCAATAAAATGTTTGCAAATACGAAAGCTACGACGGCGACGGATATCGGGGAAAATTGAAATTTCTGTCTCGAGTTGATGAACACCCTCAGGCACATTAAGAGAAGAAAGACCGGTTTTCCAACCGTGCTCGTACAAGAGCTCATATTGTATGATCACAGAACTGTTCTGTTCAGTGGTGCATGCAGGATTTGTCGTAGCGGAGTGGCTCTAACCGGGGTTTAGCCCCATATAGCTCATGAGAGAGGCCAAAGAGGACTGGGATACGGTTATATCGAAGCTAGTAAGCTAATATCTACTTATCGGTATATACTGTATCATAAAGAAAAAGTTCCGAGCCCTCCCCGCGCCACTGCGAGGACATGCCTGACTAAGCCTATGCATAGGTATATTGCATGACATCTTGGCTTGCATAAAAATCTGCATTGGATGCAAGGCTTTGCCATTTTAATTAAGGACCCGGGCAGAGAGAAAGACAAGTATGCATATGTGAATACAAATAAAACCAAACAAAAACGACCGGCGGCAATATTACACTTTCAAATTCGCTGAGCAAGAGCAGGTGTCGGCCAAAGTCGTTAGAAAGGTTCTCCGGAATCTGTCAAAGTAAATTAAAAAAACAAATAAACTGGTTACCTCAAGGAACCGCAAGCACACAACTCGGTACACACTGTAGCTCCATTTTATAGCCCCCCCCCCCATGGTCGTGCGACTTGGTGTCCAGAGATCCAAAATGAACATGTTGGTCGAGGTTGGGACTAATAGTCACCACATATAAAGACAGGATCACATTCGGTACACGATTAGTGAAATCACTGATATCTGATATCAGTCTGATATCTAGTGACTTAAATAAATTATTTCCACATCTCGGCACCGTGGTTCAAGTTGATCCACGGTTTTTGAATTTACCCCAAGAAAACTTGGTCCGATTAAGTTTCATGTTTCTTACATCTAATGATGATGATGATAACGACTAAAGAGGAAAATACAAGCGGAAACGATGGGCGATCGGAGATTTCCAGAGAAGAACCCAACTTATAGGAGGAAGCGATCAGGCTAAATTTTAGATGATTTCTTACCAAAGTGGACGATAGCTTCCGCTTGTTTGAAAGAAATTCAGAGGGCGCAGTGAATGCCGGAAATTTAATCTATCATGGATAGATAAAGAATACAAAATAACATGTTGTATGATTTGACATGCCCTTTTCTCTCTTACAATAATTATTTCACTACTGCATTATATTATGCACGTTAAATAATGTTACCCTTTCATTGAGTTAGTGCTAAATACGATAATTGTTTAGTCTGGCATATTTCTTTTTTAAAATACACAAGTCTCTTTTATCCTAAATACACAAGGTTTTTCTGAATTCCTCGAAGCTGTGGAAATCACTTTTTGACCAAATGTATCAACACTTAGACTACTATGTGTGCAGTTGTTGCAATTCACACGCTGCCCACCACGAACGCTTACACGGTGTTCCGTTTGCACCAGAGTAAGTACACAGTTGGGTTCTAAGCCAATCGGCGCTTTTTTTAATAGTGCGTGCGCGAGTATGCGCCTCCGCCTGTTTGGTTGATTTTCGACAGTAGAGTGAACGAAATGAAAGTTCTTCTTTGCTGAGTGCACTTTGCATTTTTATTTACAAAAGTGAAACAGTCTTGGAAACAGGAAATAAGAACAGAATGACGTAATTTGGCATTGCTCCAACAACAGAATATACCTTGAGAATATGTTCTCTGCTGTTACGAATATTTGTGTGGACTCCAGTTGATATGATCGCATTTATGCCAAACTGGGAACTAAGAGTTGCCCACAATCTCTCAAAGTGGTAGGAGCTTTCGAGCCAGTTACCGCCGGGCTTTGATCCGAGGACAGGCCATCCATGGACGGAGTCCAGAACGTTGATCAGCGGGGTGGCTCCCAGACTGTTAATGGTATCTGCAATTTTTTGTATCAACTGGATTACCTTCTTTATTAGAGACAGTGCAAGGAAATTTAGCTTCAAACTCATTCGATTAAGGCGTTCTGGTTTGATATTTTAAAAGAAATTCTTTGATTCATTATAAGGTAGATCTAGCTTTAAATTATACAATAGAAAATTGAAATACACGGCAGAATCGCGTTAACCGGTACCTTGGTCAAGGCATGCATTGTAGTACTTCCGGACTTGAGAGAATGATGCTGGCTCGTTTAGTTGTGGATCTCGCTCAATCAGTCCTGAATGTGGCAGATGGGAAAATGTGGCAATTCCAATAGAGAAAGAGAAACACCATAGGCCGTCGTTTATGAGTGCTTTATATGACTATCTATCTGACTGTTTAATTACAAATTTGCATGGTGTCGCTTAGGGCACGTGCATTCATCATTTTCGATATGGCGCTCATTTCATGTTAACTGGCTGCGCCTTGAAATATGCGTAGCGTGCGTGTCTTGCACAGCTCTCTCGAGTTCTCTCTGTGTGTTCTGTCTGTTCAAAAATGCAAGAAATGGCTTTTGTGCAAATTTATGTGCTCAACACATACGGCCCATCCAGCGTCAGAAGTTGCGTTGATGTTCTTTTTTCCAGTTAATTTTACACTCAAGGGAATCGGCAAATTTCAACAGTGTGAGGTTATACCTCTGAGCTTTTCTTGCAAGTCATCATGGAGCTGGGAGAGAATGCTGACACGCAGCTTGTCGCCGGGAATTACTTGTCGCTTGTTCCATCCTCCGCATGCGTAGTCAAAGAAGTTCTGGCATGGATCCTGGCTGCTATCCACGCTGCTCTGAACGAGAATGGCTATAAAAGAAGAGTACTCAGCCAATGACTAAAGGAACTATTCAGCATACATACGATTTACAAATGAAACGACCAGTTTTTTCACATAGTGTAATTAAATCGGCAACAAGTTTATCAACATTGTCTCTTCAAAAAGGAAAGGTACCTCTGCAGACTTTTAGTTTCTATTTTATACTGCGTGCGTGGGTGCACTCTGTAGAACGGCAGTTGATTCTCAATGTTTTGGCTAATGTTAATCAGATATATTAAAGTGACGATGCTACTATCTTTGTTGCTAGTGTAGCATTGGATTTTTTTGGCCAAATGTATGTCATTGTTGTTTTACCTAATGTTAGTAAACTGCAGTGCAGCGGGTAATGGTATCGGGTGGGTGGAGCACTTGCATGAAACTGTAATTATTACAGAGTAACTATACGTGATCTTACCGGATTCGTTACACTGGGCGCTAACGCAGGTGAATCTGATGACTGGCCTGTGTCTGATTGTGAAAAAAACTTCCGGGAAAAAAGACCAACAAATTTATTACGTACTTAAACATTATCTTGGGATTGCACAAGGTCACTGACTCTCGCTAGCACTGAGACATTTTCCAGATATTTTCGTTACCAAGCTTGAAGAACATGAACTAAAGTCTGTGACGCTAGCCTCGGGTTTCGCATCCGTCTCGATATACAAAGATGTTTGAAACAAGAACTAGTCTTTCAAGTGAAAAATACAATAAATTTGTTGAAATTAATGACTACCACAAAATATAGCAAATAGATAAAAAAGTGTCAAATACTGTTAGACTTTTGAAAAGAAATTTAAATTTTTCCAAAGTTTTCCCGAACATTAAGTCCTTGAAAATGTTTCAAAAATGTCCTAAAGAGCAACCTTTTGGTCTTCTCAACAAATATTTTGGAACAGAGTCTTGGCAGTTTGTGCCATATTTATTAATCTCAAAATATGGAAGGCCTGACGTTTTGATCCTTGCTGAATCTTTCTCAAAGGCAAAATGTGTTTATTAATTAAAGTTGTGAATGACGTACCAGCTCCAACTACAAAGAGAAGAACCACTGCTCCAGCTATGATTATTGGCCATTTCCACGGATTCCTAGACACTGTTTCGTCATCAGCTGGTATCACTACGCCTTGGGAGCTCGTTTGCTCTTCCGTATCTAGAGTGCTTAAGGTATCGGTATCCATACTGCTCGTGCCGATCATATTGGCACTGTCAGTGCTGAAATCGACAGTTCCCATTTTTTCCCTGAACAATACACCAAACAAGCGAAGACTACAAAACATCACATTTAAGCGGCAAATTCTAGGTAAACTTCAAGATCAGTGAAGTTGACTAGATCTTTCCAGTCAAAATTATTGACTGAAAAAAATTAGTCATTTGAATTTGATTTACATCCTCCTATGTTTTCCAATTAGTCAAAAATGTTACATTTAATAACAATGAATTCCATACTTCACGTTTAATTTATTACAGTTTCCAGTTTTCGAAGGATTTATTAGTCCGAAGGATCAATGATAAAAAACACTTAACAGTACAGATTTTACTCTTTCTTCCATAAACCCCTATTCCTTAATGAATTGCATTGAAGCTCATTAATTCACAACTCTGCTTATTGTGATCTAATATCGATCTCACTATTAACGCTACAAATCGCTGAACTTGTAATAGAAGATGGGAGCAGTACATGCAAAAGGAGGAAGTTTTTGGCATTGCATATGCACCTTTCATACAAGAGGAGCTGTTATAATTGCGTAAAACGATCAACGTCTTCGCATTGTAAAAGTAACTCATTATGTCATGTTTTTCTCAGTTACTTGTTTAATTCAATTATTTCAATTAAGAGACGTCCAGAATTACTACGTTACAGGTTAAACTGTAATGGACTATCACGTACCTGCAATGTAATCACGCAGTGTGGGTGTCAGCAGGGGTCTTACAATGGCGCTAATGTAAGAAGTATAAAAGTAGCCTCGGTGAAATCTCGAAATGACCGTGCTAAAGGAGGAAACTACCCGTTTATAACTGACAAATGTATGGGCCAGTGTGAAATGAAGAGAAACATACTTCATTTTCACTTTCACACGTACAGTCTTTCCTACGAGATGTGATACGTGAGCAATGGACCCATTTCTGCAGTATATTTACCTTGAGCCAGACAAAAGTGAAACCATTTCGATTGACGTACATTTAGCAATGGCTGGCTGTACCCGGCAAACCAATAAAATGCTAGATACAAAGTAATAAATTGGTATGCACCCAAGCATGTCAAATATTATAGGCTTCGGCGTTCATCCTTCATCCTTTAGAATGCAACGCTGAAGAGTCGAGCCGCAAACTACTCGACTTGCACTGTTTTAAGTGCAAAATTCATGTTGCATGAGGGAGAGAAGTAACATCGAAAATCCTTTTCTTGTACTCCGCTCTGCAGAAGTCACCACACAGCGCTCATTCCATGACATCCAAATCATGAACTGAACGTTCCATAGTTTATTTAGCCATTGAGAAGTGAAAGGAAGAATGCAAGTTTCTTTTTTTTTTCTTTTTTCTTTTTCGTAATGGATCTAAAATCTTCAACATAAACATTGTAAAATATATGTAGCATTCATTTTCAAAATATTCCCAACAAGACGTGGTGAAGCAAGGGTATCTAAATTCATTAACAATACATCATTGATAACGCATTCACAAGTAAGAAATGCATTTTATTGATAACAAAGCAAGACAAACTCTGTTTAATCACATTATTTCGTATATTGAATAATAGAGACGACTGAATTCTTGTTAATACGAATATATACGTTTACTGCTAGTTTGTCAGCATCCATATTCCATGTTATATACAAAGACAATAAGAACTATATTTATCTCTTATTGGTGAAATATTGGGATATGCATCATCTACTGAAACTATTAGTGTCTTATTCTACTCAATCAATTTTTCTTATGTCTCGGCAAACCGTTTTTGATAGACTTGGCTTTTTGCGAATGCTGTTCACAAAATTTTAGAAACGTCTCTTCACAGGGGTTTGGGTTTAAAGGAACTCTATGTGTACAATTTAGTTTGTGTGAGTGTAAAACAAACCTGAAATATGACCCTCCTTAACTAACAGCGATGTTAACATTTTAAATGCTTCTCCGATTATGACAGGGAAGCGGGGGACATTTAACATTTTCACGGTTTTTGCTGTATCTTCGTTGCTACCCTCATTGGCCGAAAGTAAGGTGTTTCCAAATAAGCTTGCTTGTAGGAATTTTCGCTAAAGTTACTTTTAAAAGATATGTATAGTATGTATAGGGTACGAGTAATTTTTAGATAGTGTCGTTCCTTCCCAGTCGCTCCTTTAAAGCTGCGCCGATTTACTTCGTTACCAGTTTGGTGTTAATACATGTAGAGAAGTTTTAAAGTGGACAAAATGGACCGGTTTACTTTCAAAAAGAGACTTTCAGTCTTGAGGGGTGCTTTTTCAAGCATCCATCTCTAATTTGCTAAAGGTTGTCCGGGCATAAAATTATTCGTAGTGAAAAAACAAGTCTCATCTTCACCAGATGCCTTATCGTCCGTGCCAACGCAGTCCATGAAGCCTTCGATTTTCATCACCTCGGAGGTGGGGTTCTCAACTTCTGTGTGGGACTTCTTCATCGAGTTTTGCAGCACGTGGTAGTATGACCTCGGTCCTTTACCCGTTGACCCCTTGGCTTCCTCCGCATCAAATTGGATGGACTCTTCGCGGCTGATTGACATCAAAAACGGGAAAGGAAAATATAATAGTTCTCGTGTCTCCAGGGAAAGACATCATGAAACAGTTGCAGAGTTGTGGCTTATTTTTAAGTGTCCTATTTCAGAAACATTAAATGTGTATTCTTGTTTAATCAAAAGTCTGCTTATTCAGACCGTATTCCTGAAAGGATTTGGGGGGTTGGAATAACGAATGTATACCAACTTACTTGTTCATGTGCCATCTTATTCCGAAGCCAATGCTCAAGACAACAAGAACAAACACACAGACGCCGACGACTAGGTACCAGTTGGATTGAATCCAGCTCTGTACCAAGAAAAGATCAAATGACATTTTCAATTTTAAGGAAGATTAAGGAATTAATTTTAAGGAAGCAAAATATTTGATTTTTTTCAAAGAATATGTAACTAGTGTTGCAAATAACCTGAGCGGGAAACCTTTGGATTTTCTTAATCGGTCCCTTCACGGGAAAAAAAGATTATATGAACTACTACTGCTGTTACCTGTTCCTCGGATCGGGGAATAGCCTCACCGTAGTAAACCTCGTAGCCAAGGTCTTTGTCTATCTCGTCCCGGTCTACCTCCATCATCTTCTCCTCAACTGTGATTCTTGGGAGGTAGTCATCTCCTCGCTTGGCGACGTACGTGACTTGTGTGAGCGCTTCCCTGGGCAATTTCAAATATGCGTGTTAGTAGTTTGGATGAAACATGTGACAACATTTAACCCTTGCCCCACAGAGCCAAACTTCAATAGAGTTACACAAAGCTGTTTGTAGTTAGGTTCACCTGAGACGTATATAAGATAAATTTTAAATCTTCTTCTGGGCACCGATTGTCCAGACTGAACAGTCTTGTAATTTCCACACCGGATGTATTTTCCCCGCGGTAGCGTATCTGTATAATTTTTCCCCTGATTTTTCCCTGAAGATACGATGTAGTACAAAAATGTAACGTACGCTGCCTGTACAGAGTCTTTGAGTTGATGCTCAAGTGTCCAATTCATCGATCTTACCCTGTGTTAACGGCAGTGTAGTCTTCTAGCTGCACAATATCCACAGCTACGTCATCAACGCTGCGTCTGAGAGGTGACAGTAAGATCTGCAGTACTCCTGCCATGTTTGTTTCAAACTTCAGTTCGTTGACTTTACCAATGAGTATGATAATGCAGCCGTAAATTTTCAACTCTGAAAGCATCAGTAAGAAGAAATCGTGACCCAACATGTAAATTCCACAAGTACATGTAACAGTTATAAATTCATCGTCATTTCCAGGTGTATTTTGTTAAAGTCTGCAGAGAAACACAATTATTTTGATAATGCGTGACTGCTCAGGCAAGTCATGATTAACTATACATACAATCTATGGTTTCAGATTATGGCTTTCATTTTGTATGACATGGGTAATGAACAAGGTTTGGCATGCACAATCGATAATGAATAATAACTCCACTGAAACCTGCTCTGTAAATAAACCTAGTGCTTCATACCATCTTGTAGAAGTAAAGTAAAGGTCACATTGCTTGGTTGTGACAGTTAATATTGGACGAACGATAAATATTTGCTCAACCATGCCCCCCAAGGAAAGAAACCGCGTTAACTTCTTTTTGAGCAATGTTGCAGGCTGCCAAAAAATGTGCTAAATTTACCACTGCACGTTTGAGTCTGAATTCGGTCACTTATCCTATTCGGGTCCAATGATATGAAACCACAGGTCCAATAGTTGCCTTTAATGTCAGGAACAGTCTCATTCTTCGTCTCTGCCGCTATATTTAAAGACCTTATCTGATAATTGGGTGACCTGTTGATGCCGTGGATGTTATGTTATAATAATAGCAGCAAGATACTTTTAAAAGTCTTACCAACACCACAGCTGTCTCCATAATAGTCGTCGGAACAAGTGCAAACGTAGCCAAGTTTGTTGTCTTTGTCTGTTTCACAGGTACCGTGCTTACAAGGTGACAGAGTGCAAGGATTGTCCACGGGATTCTCACAGTGTTTGCCCTCATGGAACGGGTCGCACTCGCAGCTGTGGAGGTAAAATGTACTCCAGTGGACCTTTGTCGTACAACAAACACAGTACAGGTGCGTGTGCTCTTTTCATTCATAAACATAAATGCAGAAAGATTTCCTCATCTTTGAGATACCTTCCGCGCAAAGTGAACATTATCCACAATTAGAATAGACCGTCTCAAACACTCCTTATTTTATTTGAATTGCTCCACAGTGCTCTGGTCGATGGATTATTAACTCCTCTTAGGTCCGAGATTTTGGAACGAGAGGAGACCAAGAACTAAATTCTATGGGATAATGCACAAAATTCCATGGAAAAACCATGGTAGCAGGAACTGGATTTTGGAATGTAGGTACAAATTTTACCTGAATCCGTTCAGTATCGGAAGACAAGATCCTCCTGAACAGGGCGAGCTAAAGCAGAAGTCTATCTGCCTGCTGCAGTTATCACCCTCGTACCCAGCCTCGCATTGGCACAGTCCATCCTCACAGGCGCCATTCACACATTCCGGCTTTACAAAAATCAAACCAATTACACGTCTGAGCATCGTTTCAAAGAGTACAATATATATTTTAAGTACTTCTAATGTTATACAGTATATTAAACCATAGACCTATTTTGAATATAGTCCAATTACTGTAACTATATTCTCACAACATAATCTTTCCTTACCATACATTCACATCTGTATTGACCAATTCCGTCCTCGTCAACGCACGTGCCATTCAGACACGGTGAACTGTCACACGCGTTGATCAGATCCGCACACAGTATTCCCTCGTAGTCAGGCAGACACTCGCAGACGAACTCGTTGACCTGATCGAGGCACGTACCGTGCACGCAGGGTGTGCTGGCACACTCGTCTCTCTCAATCTGGCACAGCTCACCCTCGTATCCCGGCCAGCATTCGCAGGCGAACCCATCAACCTCGTCGACACACGAGCCATTCCGGCACGGGGAGCTAGCGCACTCGTCTGTGTCGATCTGGCACAGCACACCCTCAAACCCAAGCTCGCACCGACAAGCATACCCGTCCAGTTCATCTACGCATGTGCCGTGTGCACAGGGTGAGCTCCCGCATTCGTTGGTCTCAAGCTCACATGTGACACCCTCGTAACCCGCCGTACAGTTGCAGAAGAACCCGTCCAAGAGGTCAACACACGTGCCGTTGACGCAAGGGGAGCTCAGACATTCGTTTATCTCCTGCTGACACAAATCACCCTCGAACCCTGAGGAACAACTGCAGGAGAAGCCATTGATGAGGTCCACGCAGGAGCCGTGCATGCACGGCGCACTGACGCATTCATTAATGTCAGTCTGGCATCTTTGTCCCTCGAAACCATCTGTGCAATTGCAGAAGAAATTGTACGGTCCTTTATCGACGCACGTCCCGTTCACACACGGCGCGTCGGCACAGTTCTCAACCTCGCTATCGCAGAGTGTGCCTGCGAACCCAAGCTCGCACATACAGGTGAAACCATTAAGACCATCCAAACAGCTTCCGTGTACGCAAGGTAAACTAGCGCACTCGTCAGTCTCAGTCTCACACAGGCGACCTTCAAAACCGGCGGTGCAGTTGCAGCGGAACCCATCTACCAGATCAACACACGTGCCATTTGCACAAGGAGAGCTATCGCACTCTTGGATGTCATTTTGGCAGAGTGTGCCTTCAAATCCTGGCAGACAGATGCAAGAGAAGGCGTCGACGTCATCAACACATGTTCCGTGTACACATGGAAAACTGCCACACTCGTCAATGTTATGCTGACACCTCTTCCCCTCGAACCCAGGTGTGCAGTTGCAATGAAAACCATTGATGGCGTCAAAGCATGTACCATTTAGACACGGAGAGCTGCTACATTCATCAGTGTCAACCTCGCACTTTGTCCCCTCGTAACCAGCACTGCACGTACATAAGTACCCGTTTATGTAGTCGGCACAGGTACCGTGCAAGCATGGATTACTCGCGCATTCGTTTGTGTCGCTATCACAAAAATCCCCTTCGTACCCCTCCGTGCAATTGCACGAGAATCCATTCACCAAATCAGCACAGGTGCCGTTCACACAAGGCGAGCTATTACACTCATCAATGTCATGCTCACAAAGTGCCCCTTCAAAGCCAGGCGTGCAGACACAGGAGAACCCGTCAATTTCGTCCTCACAGAAACCTTGCAAACATGGCGTGCTTTGACACTCATTTATTTCGTTCTCACAAAGAAGGCCATCGTAGCCTGCCGAGCAGTTACACTGGAAGGCACCAACTAGGTCCACACAAGTACCATTAAGACACGGCGAGCTGTCGCACTCGTCCATTTCATGTTCGCAAGTTGGTCCCTCGAAACCAGGAGTGCAGGTACAGGAGAACTCGTCAACTTGGTCCACGCACGTACCGTAGAAACACGGAGAACTGGCACACTCATCCTTGTCAATCTCGCACAGGATGCCCTCAAAACCAGCGGTGCAGTTGCAGACAAAGCCGTCGACAAGATCGACACATGTGCCGTTGAGACACGGGGAACTGGCACATTCTTGGGTCTCATACAGGCAAAGCTCACCCTCATAGCCAGGACTGCACGTGCAGAAAAAGCCAGCTTCCAAATCGAAGCAGGTGCCGTGAAGACAAGGAGAGCTGGAGCATTCGTCAATGTTGATCTGGCAAAGGTTTCCCTCGAACCCAGCTGAGCAGTTACAGACAAAACCATTGACGTGGTCGACACAAGTGCCATTCAGACAGGGAAAACTGGCGCATTCGTCGATGTTCAATTCACAGGTCATCCCTTCGTAGCCAGGAGAGCACGCGCAAGAGAAACTGTCGATCAGATCCACACACATACCGTTTAGACAGGGCGAGCTAGCGCACTCGTCAGTGTTGTATTGACAGTGCTCTCCTTCGTAGCCAGGGACGCAGTCACACGAAAAGCCATTGGCGTGATCGGAGCAGTTGCCATGTAGACAAGGCGTGCTGGCACATTCATCTGTGTCTACTTGGCAGAGAATTCCCTCAAACCCAGCCGAACAATTGCAATGAAAGCCATTCAGCAAGTCGACACAGGTGCCGTTGTAACAAGGAGAACTATCACACTCATTCGTCTCAAGCTCACAGTCTTTGCCCTCGTAGCCGTCCTTGCAGGTGCATCTATAAATGAATTTTAAAATAAAATACACTGCAATCAATGCTTTCACACCGATCCTTGATACAAGACCAACACAACTCAAACTTTAGGCAAAACGTTTGCCAGCATCAAAGAAAATGACTATGTCATGGAATATTTGAATTAAAAAAGTAAACCCACCCACCTGTAATCGGCTATTAAATCGTAACAAGTTGCTTCGTTCGTGCACGGACCACTCGCGCACTCGTCAGTCTCTACATCACACATGTTTCCTTCGTAGCCCTTGTCACACAGGCAATGAAACCCGTCTAGTCGGTCCACGCACGTGCCGTTGTTCGCACAAGTTTGGTTGATGCAAAAATCTATGTCAATCTGGGGAAATTATCGTGTATATAACGTTTCGGTTTTTTCTTTTTCTGAGTGCTTTTCTTTTCTTTCTTTTTTACAATAAACCCTTTGTTCAATTTCAAATCGAATGAAATGCTCTGATTTTGAGCACCAAAATAACTATGTTCTATTTTGCAGATGATCTTATTGTTTTTAAGTGAGTTACAGTCGTCCATATTTGAGAGAATAAAGTGATAGACTGACAGTATAGTGTCCTAATTTCATGCTATTAATTGTACCTCGCACAGTTCGCCAAAGTAACCAATCCCACAGCTGCATTCAAAGTAACTGAGGTGATCGACACATGTTGCATTGTTCTCACAAGGACTGCTTGCGCATTCGTCCGTTTCCACCTGGCACAGAGCCCCCTCCATCCCGGCCGGACAAAGACAGTGGAATCCGTCCACCTGGTCAACGCATGTTGCACCATCCCAACAGGGACTGGGAGAGCATTCGTCGATGTCCGTCTGGCAGTGTTCCCCCTCGAAGCCGGGCGCGCAGCTGCAGTTGAACCGACCCATCCCGTCGATGCAGGTGGCGTTGTTTCGACAGGGGCCGCTGGCACACTCGTCGATATCTGCCTCGCAGCGGTCCCCTTCGTAGCCGGTCAGGCAATCGCAGGTGAAGTTGCCGATCAGGTCGACGCAGGTGGCTCCGTTGAGGCAGGGCCGGTCGGCACAGTCGTCCATCTCGCATAACTCGTCCACGTAGGTGTAACCAGGGAAGCAGGAGCAATTGAAATACCCCAGATAGTCAATGCACGTGCCACCGTTCTTACAGGGACCAGACTCGCAATCGTTTATGTCCACATCACAGAGACGATCTGTAATTTTGATTGGGGAGGACACCTGTCTTAAAAATTGGATATTGTTTTATTAATCCTACAATGTTTCTAAGTTTATTTGTAAATAAGAAATTGAACGGAATGATTTCTGTGGCATCTGTGGTGGTACTGGTGTTTCAGCTTCCTACTTCTGTCAACGCACACAAAATCAACACACATATTTACTTCTTTGTCCCCATACACAGTAACGTGCTGACGAGAATAAGTAAAATATCTTGGCACTAGCCTGTACCTTTAAATAATATTTTGTAATGGTTTTTGAATACTAGGTTTTGAACTCTTAGGGTTAATGTCTAACCATATTTTGTCACAGTTTCATTTAACACTGCACATAAGGAGTTTTTAATAAACTTTCCCGAAAATATCATCCGTACATTTTCTATTCCATTTTCACAATTTAACGGTCCTGTTTGGTGAGTCATTTTCCATCGTTCCATCCAGTCTAAAAATTAAATCTGGGAGCTAAAAAGTAATAAAAGTACAAATTTAGGGGTTAGACCTTACCAGTCCAGCCGATTTCACAGTCGCAAAAGAATCCTCCATCCTCATTAACACAGACACCATGGACGCAAAAGGAATTCAGGCATTCATTGATATCTGTCTGGCATGTATCCCCTGAAAAAAGCACTGTTTAATAATTTTCTTGTAGCGAGCATGGTTCTTACAGATGAACATATTGTCCTCTCAGTCTGGCATTCACTCTGACCTCATAGTAGCATAGGGTAACAGGTTTATTCATCTCAAGTCAAGTGTCAGTTTGAATAATAAAAGAACGAAATCAGGCAAAACTAGACGCTAACACTAGGCTTGAGAAAAACGTCATTTAAATTTGGGTCACTTTAATATTTTAGCCTCCGAAATGGATTACAGCCAACCCTTAATGAAAAAGCGGGAAGTAAACTCGACTTCATAAAACTGTAGTACAAATACGTGAAGTTGTGAATAAGTTTTCTGTGTCCTAGGAAAGTCCAGGCGATGGGGTCAATGAATTTTTTTTATGAAAAGAAAGCCCACTCGTCGTAATCTACTACGCAGTTAGCACGGGGGGGGAAGTCCAGGTCGAATTTTAGTTTTTAATTCAAAAAGATCGCACTATCGCAATGCACAACGACGGCCTGACGCGGCGCATCGTATGTGTATAAACGTACTGACAAAACGACGACGGTGCAACGTGACGGCACGACGCAAGGGAGCCGTCGTGCCACCACGTCGTCTAGTTGCGTCGCCCTGGAAGAGGCTAGAGAGAGAGGCAAAAATGTATGTCGTAAATAGTACACCATACAAATCAGCTCAACACTTACAATGAGCCAATTGCGAGTTAAATTTGAATAAAATCTGGTACACTGAGTTCTTTAAAGTCACCTGAACATAACAACTTGAATTTTCCATACTAAAACCACTATTGCTATACCTGGTGATTTGGGAAAAGCTTTTGCTTTTGCTTAGTAACGTTAGAGACGACTTGCAACAATACACCGTTCTCAATGGATAAGAACGGCACAAAGGAACCAGTCCATTCCAGAGATGGTGGTCGCTATTATACCCAGCAAGAAATGAGACCGAGGGGTACCCCCCAACATGTCCAATCCCTATACACATTCCAGACTATTGTTACTTAACACATCCCCCCCAAGATGTCTAAAANCCGTCTCATACCTTGCTGCATATAGTCGCTATGCAAAAGCTTGCCCCGAAACACAAGGTATAGCAACAGTGTCTTTCATCTGGCAAATTCAAATTCTTATGTTTGTGTGCAATCAGGTAACTCAGTGTACCAGATTTTATTCAAAGTTAACTCGCAAGTGGCTTATTCCATGCATGATTAGTTCGTGCATAGTGTTCAAATGCATTAAGTCTGTTGTTTTTTCGATAAATTGTCTAACGTAAAATTCTCTGAAAATTTTCGGCAGATCCACATCTGAATTATACTAATACGAGATTCTTCTTTACATGAATATTTTCTGCGACAGATTTTTGTGCCTCCTATAAATATGTCCTGAAAATTTACTTTCATATAACCTGCAGCTATTTCTACCTGTCCAACCCTCTGCGCAGTTGCAGGAAAATTGATTGCCTAGGTTGTTACATGTGGACCCATGAAGACACGGTGTAGACTGACATTCGTCGATATCTTCGGTGCAAGTATCTCCTGTAAGACGTTGCCATATAACAGCCAAAAAAGATATTCTTAATTAAAATGAATGTTTGTCTTGTCTATTTGTTTATAAGAATCACTTAACAATATTAAAGACTACATAACAGGTGCACAGATACGGGCTAAAGATTGACTCTTGCTAGATTATCCCAATTTAAAAAGCCTTTGGATTATAATGAAGTGCGATGAAAATGAAGTTAAACCTGATACCTTCCCAGCCATTGTAGCAAATCTTGGCTCCTGTGGTGGCGTCGCAGGTATAATGGCCATTCTGGTTGTCCGTAGGGACACAATACACGCTGCAGTCGGACGTGTAGTAGTTCTCATTGCAGTACACCTTCACTCCATATGTGAACCTTCCAATGTGTGGAAGAAGTGGGCAAAGAAAAATACACCGAATTTCCCCGGGAATTTTTTTTCCTACCACAGGGAGTATGTTACTCTTGTAACAAATTTACATAATGTAAAAAAATCGAAAATTTGTCAAAGATTCGTCAACCACTTCAATTAGACTTGATTATACATTTTCATTAGAAGTTAACTCCTATTTTCTTCATTTCATTAAGGAAAACCCGAAAAGCTCGCTTTCTTTTCCATTGACTAGAGTTAATTCAGTTTGACCCTGTTTTTTTTTCGAAGCTATAGGCATGCCTTAAACAGTAATTGTATTGATTAGGCATATACCAATAATAATTTATTGCAGCGTGCTATTTAATAGTCGATTACTGAAATTCTGATTTTAGAAAATAAATTTATCTTTCCCAAGTGGTCGCAATTCGAATAGAAGTCTAATTTCAGACTTCCTTTTCAGATAGTCGGTGATGTACATACACTGAATGCGTCCCCATGGTATATACTACCGACTGGGCACCAGACTGTGAAGCAGAGGCGCTTTGGGTGATATCCTTGAAATCTTCTTCGATTTTATCGTCATCGTTGCTGTCTTCATCCCAGACCTGGAGCTTAACTCGCATTCCTCCCTGAATTAAATGTTTCAAAAAAGTATACTTATATAGCGAGAGGGAAAGAATAACTCACAATGAATGCATAGCCGGCAGGGGTGTGAGTTTATTTAACGTTTCGAGTCGGTGATTAACACTCTTTTTCAGGAGTCTATCGGTCCATCGTGTGTAAATGTGGGTGAGATGACTTATGGTTTTATGCAAGGAAACAGTTCTATTTTGTCAGAGATGGTATTTTAGAGACCTGGGCAGGTTTTGCTTATCGTCCTTTCGTAAACACTACTCTCAGGGTATAGATTGCTTTCTACGTGTGTAAGAATCACTGTATTTTGTTGATAAACCAACATCATTATTTGCATTACCCAAGCATTTGCTCTCAAGTATATGATAATAATTTCCCAAGTCTTACCAATTTTTTTTTAAACGCATCAGGTGTTGGATCTAATATTCGAAAGCCACTTGTGGAAGCATCACGTTTAAATCGCTGGCTAAGGCTTCATTTATTGAGCTCCCAGAAATCGTTAGTGTTACTGTCTGCAGAATTCGAAAGTTAAATTGTTCCTACCTGCCAGCTAGCGACACTTGTTTCCCGGGGATTGTGAATGTTGTTGGGTATCATTGAAGGGAAATCAAACTCATCGTCGTCGCCATATACTACAGCAGTCTCTATTGTTGTTATTCCACAGTCACTGTAATCATTCGATCTGCATTGCCATTGATATAAACGGATTCAAGTACAGATTATCTTTCCGTGACTGTACAACAGCATCACTTTTTTCCAATACCGTAACTCGCAAGATTGGGCCCAATTTCATGGCGCTGCTTACCTCAAGCAAAAAATCGGCGCTTACCGTAGCAGAAAATTCTGTGCTTAAGGCGAACGTCTTTCACAGGTAAGCGAGGAGTTGTACGTGGCTTGTGCGCATGCGTACATCCCATAACTAAGGATTCTGTGCTGAAAGGGTTAGCACAGAATTTTTCTGCTGGTGCGGGTAGCGCAGAATAGAGATCGTAATCGCCGAATTCAGCGGTTAGCAGCGCCCCAGCAGGTAGCTAAAACAAGTGGTGTATCCAACGGGGAGCGGGGGAAATACAAAATAAAGGATGTTGGGGCAGCGAGTAAGGTTTTTGATATTTTTTCTTTCCAAACATTACCGGTATGTTGGGAAACGTCGCATTCACTTTTGAATATGCCCCTTAAAAGCTGGATACGCCGCTGCCGAAAACCCAACCACTGATTCTCCATCATTTCTGTTATAGATGCATTGAGTTTCACTTGATTTCGTTAATATAATGGCAGTTTGTTCTCAGTCTCCAACACTTGTAGAGGTTTTACACACCTTCTCAAACGAACTACTGTATAACCGTTGAGAACAACGTGTACCAAGCACGTGGTATTAAGGGCGTTATTTGGAGGTATGGAGTGGTCCCCGCCCCCCAAAAGTAATGCAAAAGCCATAAAATTTCCGACAATGACAAAAAGGGAGGGGCAGGAAACAAATTAAAAGGGTAAAGAACAAGAAGAGTTGAGTAAAGGTGTGAAAATCACTAATTTGTTTGAAATTGCAACAGAATTGTACCCAGGCTACTGTTGATGTATTTTCAGTTTTGCTGCTAAAGAGTGTTCCCCCCCTAAAAATCCAGGAGACGCCCATGATACCAAGATTAGTTTCTCGGTGCAACATTCCTTTTACTCGATTGATCAAATTTTACGTTTTGGGGGTCCTGTATGATTTTAAAATGCAGCATCCAAATACATTGTACTTAACTTAAACATTCGTTATTTGAAAATGACTGTGATTGCTTATATTTTATTAATATTTGTTTGAGGTACGTCTGTCTAATGAATTTCTATAATTCTTTTCGAAGGTTTGTTCTTCCCAATTATTTAATCCAAGTATACAATATGTTTTTGTAATAATTATGTAAGAATCGGTTTATTTGTTTTCTCTAAAGATTTCTGCCTGCGTACATTAGACTCGAAAAAGCAGAACAAGTATTCACCCGGGAAGATCGTCGAGGCAGACGATGAAATAGTTGTCACAAGATCCACAACTCCAACCGGGATCACAGCAGCCGCCAGCCAACTCCGAGTGATCAGGGTTACTCCAACGCTGGAACTTGAACTCCACGGTGGCGCTGGATCTCACGAGGGCGAATGCCTGAGTGGAAAATGCATCAAGGTAATAGCTCCCTACACTACAAAAACTGTGGTGATAAATTACGAATTTACGTTAAATAAAGCAAGTCGCCTCAGTCAAGTCATACTAACGGCAAACTTCAGTAAATAAAGTGTGTAAAGATATTTGCAAGCTACCGCAGAGGAGAATTTCTACCGGCCTCTCCTTCAACATCAAGAATGTGAATGTCTTGATTCCTAAAACAGCTAAAGAAGTGAAATAGAGATCCTTCTGTTGAGGAGAGGTAATCTTCGTAAGGTTTCATTTGTCCGATATATGCATACACTGGACGATGCTAAAACATCAAAATAAGAAGGAAACGAACATCTATTGTGAGTTACGGCGGAAGACTCTCAAGTCAATATCAAAGAAATGTCAAACTCAACTTGACGACTGTGGCGGTTTGACGGCCTTCAGTAATCACTTGATATTTTCCAACAGTGGATTTTAAAATTACACAAGTTGTCCCTGTTTAGTTCACGAACATCCTGTAGTTCAAACATAGCGCCCATCTCAGAAATTAATGCTACGTTTTCATCAGTACGTCCGTGACTCTTTAAATTCAAATACTGACCTGCACAGATACCCACAGAACGAGAAGGTAAAACACAGAGCCCATTTTCTAACGTGATATGGTATTCCGTCTTTGGAACCTTGTTCAAGAGTGAATTCATAAGCGTTCCTGCTCGAATCCAATATAAATTGCTCCTTCCTGTTATTGCAAAACACGTTTTAGAAAGTCCGGAAAAGTTTTTATTTACCAGCTGTATGAAATAGAGATGCCACTTGGAGGTTAAAAAAACTTTTATGGTTTATGCAAAGCGGCTGGCTTGTAAAAAGCTACTCAACTGCCCATATAATAACTTGGTTTATGACATTATAGGCTCTCATAGAAATATTGAAGAGGTGCAGGTGGTTTTCTTTACCCTTCTGGACAATTGATTTTTCACAGTGTTTGGGATATGATAGATTGCTACACTTAAACCGAATACGCAATAACAAAGGGACAAGGCCTTAGTGACAAGGCCTTGGCTTGTACTGTCGGTACATTTAAATTTTTATCAGGAACTCAGATTAGAACATGACTCGATTTTCTATTTATACGAAAAGACCATTTTGTTTCTAATTCTGTCTGGCGGGTGACAATGCAACCACTGATGAAAACTCTGGAAACGAACCAAAAAAATGGACTTCCTAAGTAATTTACGAGACATGAGTTATTTCTAACAGGTTCGTGAGGGTAGGCTGTTCTAAGTTGTTAAAGGGGTTTCCGTGAGCTTGAAAAGCAAAAGAGAATATGAGAAAATTCTCAGGGGAAAACTGCAAAAAAGGTTAACCCGTGTCCACACTTCAGTCAAAACAAATGCATATTTTACGGATGGAAACAAGATTCTTTGGGCAAAGATTCACCCGTGGGGGAATATCAAGGCTACTCAGTTCTCTTATCAAGACATACACTAAAGGCATGTCATTTCGGGAGCTCCGTATTTGACCTGTGTTTTTATAAGAGTTCTCAGAGGTTTACAGTATTGTTGCTATGACGAATGTATCTCAAGTAAACACTTCCTTGTTTGGCCTTGAAATGGTTTTGTGCTGTAAAACGAAGATTTCAGCTCAAGGTCCGTTGGAGAAGTAAGCACGAAGCGATATTATTGAGCATATTTGAACTGGGATCATAAATCATGTGACAGTCAACGTGTATTGTTTTGAAGAGAGGCTGCCAACACAAAGCAAATGGCTCTTGTGCTTTTAAGCTGATACCAGTTTTGGCAATGGTGATATGGATGTTCTCCACTTCACCGTTATACAGTACTGGGTCTTGATAATATGGATTGCCTGTTCTTTGCTGTTTTTCTCATTTTTCAGGTAAGCCCTCCTTAAATTATTCTTATTATCATCAACACCACCTCTGTTGAAGTTCTCATCATCACGTTTGTTGTTTTCACCCAAATCACGAGCATTATACTGCAACCCCAGACTCCCCATCAATTCCACCATGATCAAAACCGTCCCCGCCACCACCCCTTACATCACCATCTATTTTCATTACAACCATCCTAGTATCAATGGCATCACCACATCCACCCTCATATCCACCGTCATCCCCATCAACACCACCCCCATCTTCACCATCACAACTGTTGTCGTCCTTTAACCAGCAAAACCACCTTAATCATTTCTCTTAACGTTATGCATTGCATTGTTGTATATAAAATAGCTTGCAAAGGGAGCAATGTGCAAAGAACAACCATTCGACTGCAATCACTATGTTTTTCCATCTGGTGTAGCTGGTTTGGTAATCGGTAATAATTTATTATTTGAAAATGATTTGTAATCTGTCTGTCTTGTGTGACAACTTTAAAAAAAATTCGGTTTGGGTCATCATTTTTGTGGTGTTGATATTTTCTTTTGAATAAAGCAACAAAATTGCCCATAGTCCAATGACCGGGGGACTTCTAAGTTTAACAAAAATACTATCAACTGAAAAATGATATTTGCATGCAGCTAATAGGAGTAACCTTGCCAGTCTTTTTCGCAGCTTCGTTGACAGCTTCGGACATGCGGGGGGGGCTCATAATACCACTAAGGGGAGCACGTCACAAGAGCAGTAGATACAGATTCAATGCTTATGGTTTTTGCTAATGGGGGAAAGCTGCTCTTCGAGGGGGATTCCGCCCCCACCCTTAGCGACGGACCAGCGTTTGTTTTCTCTCAATATTACAACTCCAAAACATGACACCCTAACATTCTCCCTTTGCATTTTCTTTTTTGACATGTGGGCTCCATTCTCTGATGTCGTTACAACAGAACTTTGATTTGTTTCTTTGAAAAGGATTTCCAAAAAAAATTTTCTGGTTGTGACATAACCGTCAAGTAGCACATAAAGTGAATCATGCTATTTGAAGACCCTTGGTGAATTACATAGAGCAGCTTACAAGGACAAACACTGACATTTTTGGAGATATTTGCACATTTGCAAAACTATGGCAATGGTCTTATCGCCTGTTCGCTAAATTGTCAAGGCTGAGAATTCTACAATTCTATCCCTAACGAAACCCAGGTTGATACCCACTAATGTCTCTCAGGGCTATATATTTTATACTAGACGAACCTTAGGATTTTGACGATACACACTTTCACATCACGATACGCCTATATAGGAACAGAGTAAAAACAGCGTACGTGAGAACAAAAAAAATAATTTAGCTCATTACAGTTTAACGCCACAACAGGAAAGACAGTGCCATAATGCCTAGGGCGCAGTGTACAAGTCTCCAAAGTTGTTTATAAAAATGATGTTATTTGAGTCATTAGTTTTTAATTAAGAAATTACGAAAGTGGCCGTCCGCTGCTGACGGATTTGGCTTGACCCAGGGATTTTTATCATACAGTTCCCGAGCACGGACTTTAAGCACAGAAATTAATCCTTTTTATAAAATTCTGAATTAAGACAAGTCTCCATTATAGATATCATTACTTCACCGAAGGAATTTACGGTAAAAGCACCTTATTTTGCATACCGTCATTTGAGTCAAAATTTGAAAGATAAGTCCCAAAGTTTCTCTTTTCAAGGTAATCCGTTTTCGTGTTAAACTGTCAACGATAACAGCCAGGCGCGATCTAGGAGTTAAGGATCAATTACTGAGAGCAAAAGCATAATTACAACCACCCGTAGAGCCTCAATAAAGACATTTCGCCGCAAAAAAAATTGTTGTTTATTCGTGGCATGTAACGCAGATGCCTCTCCAGAGATACGTTATGCTATACGTTATTGCGTTTTGCTTAGGTACCATTTCGCGATAGATACCTAGTGCAACGTTGGAGTTCAAATTCCAGAGATGGAGTAATCCGCATCTTTCGGAGTATATGACTCCACTGAGACCGGTTGCTTCAGTTTGAAGTAGATTCATAAATTTATCACCATAGTTTCTGTAGTGTTGAAATTTATACCTTGATGTATTTTCCATTCAGGCATTTGTCCTCGTGAGATCCAGCGCCACCGTGGAGTTCAAGTTCCAGCGTTGGAGTAACCCAGATCACTCGGGGTTGGCCGGCGACTGCTGTGATCCCGGATGGAACTGTGGATCTTGCGACAACTATTTCATCGTCTGTCTTGACGATCTTCCCGGGTGAGTATATTTTCTGATTTGTTGAGTCTTACATATGCAGGCCAATATCTTGAGGGTAAATAAATAAACATGTTCTTACTTTTGCGAGACACGATTATGCAGAAAACAGAGTGATCTTAGATTAGATGACGGGTCAATAACTAGTAAAAAGGAATGACTAATGAAATGAAAACTAATGACGTCGAAAGCGTATGAGGGCCACTTGCAAAAATATTTTCGAGATACTGGGTCGTATGAATAAAAAGTAGCATTTGATTTTACTACCATTTTTGAAGCATTTACTCGTGTTTGTATGAATAATAATGAAGCAAATGCTTTTACTTTAGTGTAATTGCTAAACACTAAAGATATTTCCTTTTTACTCTTTAAGGTTGTGCTTGACAATAAGCAGTTGCTATATTTTGTCTGAATAAAAATACGTTCTACAGAATTGGAGTATTTACTGGACATTTTTCAAGACTGGGTCAGGGCAAGCTTGAAAACGAGGAGCATTTACTAATGTTCAATCTGGCAGCGTTCGTGCATGTCATTCGAAAGGAAAAGCTGTATACCTTTAGGAGGGAATCTCAAGAAACCAGATGCAAGCAATTGTACCGATTTGAGAGTGGCAGAGCAATTTTCTTCATCAAGGTTTTTGCGATCCAAATTACTGGCATCGTGCTTATCTGCCATGCTGAGGTCTCAAAATACAGCACCGTGCTGCACTGTGTGTGTCTGTATGTGCAGACAGTGGAAGCCCAATTGTGCAAAACCGTTCGGCTGTGAAGTCAGCCACAAGCATAAAGCATTTGCTACTATTTGCTAAACAGTAAAAGAAACATTTTATGCATACAAATTCAAGCAATTGCTTATTCTTAATGCTTTTACTTCTCAGTAAATGCTTTTGCTGTTTGTTTGAACTTCATAGCATTTGCTAGTTTTTATTCATACGACCCATTGTCTCGCCGCGGCGAGTTACTATCTCGCTGCAGCTAATTAAATCGTTGAATGTGTATCTCGCCGCGGCGACTTATAAGATCTTGCCGCGACCTCAAATTGATATCCCGCCGCGCCGCAACGAATATTTCAAAAGTTTCAAAAGTCCTATTCGGTGCAGTGTTTTCAAATATATCTTTAGGATGAAACGTATTGCAATTTGGTTTTAGATTGCTAATTGAAACGAAAGGGGATGTTACATTTCATCAAAGCAAACATTTCATCCATGCAAACACAGAGGAAAACAAAAGAAATCGCTTTTGGGGTATGAATTTCCATATCCGCAAGTAGAGTAGACTACTTTGATTCCCAGGTAGGCTACCTGTTGAAAGGATTACGGTGCCTTTTCATTTTTATCTTAAATAATCCTATTTACATGAGCACCCTGAGGGGGGCCCTGAAAAGAACGGGAAAAAAACAACAACAAAGAAATGAAAATTAAAAAAATGAAATTGAACGTATTTATTTGCTTGAGAAAAAAAAAGAAAATCGAAGCTCTTCCAGCAGGTAAATGTTATTGTTTTAACTAGACGGTCCCCCCCAAAAAAAGTCTGGCGACGCCCACGCATATATTTTGAGCCAAAGCGTGTTGCCATTTCGGACCAAACCTCCATGCTGATATCATTCTAAGATTGAAATCTGCTATGAATTAGGAGATTTCTTTAGGCAGAAATAAAAATGAAGTGAAATTGAAGGGAAAACTACCATACACTTGTCCATCAACTGGGTTGAAATCCCCGGCCTCCTTGACCTCACATCTATGCGTTCATTTGTCACAAACCACCCACACTGTGCATGCAGTGCGCTGGGAAGGGCAAAAACGTAACATATTTCTGTCGAGAACTTATTGGACGGAGTCTATATTATTTAACATCTGAACACGGGTCCACACTTCTGGCTTGGTGCGCATGACAAGTGTGCGCTTATATCATATTTGGTTTAAGTGTCCAAAGCTGTGAGGTATTTCATGCGTTGTGTTTTAAAGCACTGTTTTGAATCTCCCACTTTAAGTACAATAAATTAATAAATTTTGACCAATGAAAGTTCAAACTTTAATAATAACTGTCAAGTCCGCTTGCTTGTGTTTGGCATTAGGAAAATGTAGGAAGGATTTAAAACAGTTTTCCCCTTATCTGAATGTGGAAATTCACATCACAAAATAACACGGCCAGAGAGTTACTCGCCGTGGCAAGGTAGTAACTCGCCGCGGCGAGATAGTAACTCGAACAAAAATTTTTGCCAGTGGCCCTTATACGCTTCCGTAGCTTGGTATACGTCGCCTTCAATGATTATAGCAATAATTGTTCGTTTGGGGATTGATTTTAGGAATGTATAGAACAAGTATACAACCACCAAAAATTTTGCAGAGGTAGAATTGCCTTAAAATTATTTTAGCCAGTGTAAGTGAAACCAAAAACATTGTTGAAAACTGTTAATTTTGGACAGAAACTATTGAGAATCAATGTTGTTTTACGTACCTGTACAGCAATGTTTAGTAGGAAATGCATTTTACAGCTAAAATCATAGCATAGGTCAACGTTAAACGATACAACAACGTCGCCATGTATTAATGAAGGATAATCTATGCTTGAATCAGTTTATGTCAATGCAAATGCAGATCTGGTGATTTCAATGACTGTGGAATCAAATCAACAAGGACTGATGTAGTATTTGATGACAACGATGAGTTTGATTTTCCATCAACGATACCCAACAATATTGCGAATCCCCAGACAATAAGGGTCGCTAGCTGGGAGGTAGGAACAACTTGACTTCAAAAATTTCCCCCACAGTGACACTGACGAACTCGAGTGGCTTTTTGAATACTGTCATTCTTTTTTGTGAGAGTGTAAATGAATCGAAATATGTAATGTTTGAGCCAGCAATTTAAACCTGGTGCTTCCAGAACTGGCTTCTGATCTAAAAACCGCTGAAGGGTGTTGATTTTAGTATTTATTTGCAATAAAATAAGTAATGGAGAGGGAATTTGTTTAATACTATGTTTCACTATAAAGTTAATTTTGGACTGGCAACGGAATACTGTGGCTGTTACTTACAGTGACTGCTACCTAGACCATTCGAGGAAGTACTGGAGAAGTGGATGACAGAAACTGGTCTAAGTCGTTAAAATACTGCCCATGTTAATTGCTGATTTCTCTTCAAACAGTAAACCTGTAAGTCAACTCACCCAAGCATGCATACACACTAGTTTCCTGAAAAGAGCGGTTTTGCCGACTCCAAATATTGAATTAACCTACACGTACATCCCCATCCAGTACTGCACTGGTTATGAGTTACCCTCCCTCTTTAGCTATATGAGTCTAGGTGTTTTGAAAAATTCATTCAGGGAGGAATGCGAGTCAAGCTCCAAGTCTGGGATAAAGACAGCAACAGCGACAGTAAAATCGAAGAAACCTTCGAGGATATCGCCCAAAACTCCTCCGCTGCACAGTCTAGTGCCCAATGGGTGACATACACAATGGGAACACACTCACAGTAAGTGTGAAATAGCTTTTATGTGTTGCCCTCACGTCGGCGTATATTAATTAACAATGTATACTCACTGCTTGACGGGTGGGGCTCGAACCCACGACCACCTGCTTACTGCTGCAGACGTCTTAACCACTCGACCACCGATATTGCCGGGGTCGGTTGGCCGTCCAAGTCAGATGTAGCAGAGGTACCGCGAAGCCATTCAAAATGAACTTTGCGTTGGAGAGATGTTAATTTTTAGTATGGGTTTTGCAAAACCCATTGACTCGGAAATAATTTTTGAAAATCAGCTTTCAGTGCTTCCGTGTTTTACCTCCCAGTTGTTGCGAGTTTCGCGAACATTTTTGGAAGCTGCCATGCTACTGCGGGAATCCTACCTAAGCGCCTACGAAATGCACAGACAAGACAGCTCAAGGTACGTACTTACTGCACTCAACATGGTGACGAGTCTGCAGGCCCAAAGGCAATGACTGTAAAGGGTAGCAAGAACCACTGTAGGAGTTTTCCTTCGCATCATGCCGAAAGCAGCCGAATCGTCCAGAAAGGTTCGGGACTTCGGGCTTAACACCGTCAGAAAGATTGAACGCTTTATAAACGTAGATGCTTTAGAAATTTGGATGTTTCTGAATTCGAATGCTTTCCGTGCTTTCTCAATTGAAATGCGATTTCGGGTAAAATGCGTGCGCAGAATGACAGCTATACGTTGGGAAAGGTGTTCCAACTTTAAATATATAAAAATACATTCAATTTTTTAAAAACGCGTTCGATTTTGAAAAAAGGTATTCCGTTTTGCAAAAGCATGTTCCAATCTTTTGACCCGAATGCTGCTTCGTAAAGTGCGAACATACCACGACCCTAACAAGGATAGGCACCTATTCTTTGTCACACACCTGACCACGTGAATTCAATTTGGGTGTTTTCTCACGGCTCGAAACAAAGTACTGGGGCTTTCAATACCTAAAGTTAGTTTCAATCTCTCATTCTACTTTACAGTTTCTTTTTCCAAGTGAGGGTGTACTGCAATGCTAACTACTATACTTCAGACTGCAGTGAGTATTGCGTCCCTACGGATGACCAGAACGGCCATTATACCTGCGACACGATCACAGGGGCTAAGATATGTCTCGATGGCTGGGAAGGTATCTGGTTTCTACAACGTGTTTCGATATTTTGTTTTAAAAGCATAAATATTTGGAGGAAATGCGTTTCTTATCTGTTGTTCCAGGACTTATGTCTGTGTCTAACGAATTTATTTATTTATATATTCATTCATTCATTATTTATTTATTCATTTATTAATTATTCATTTAAGTAATTGGCTGCCTTTGGGACGTTTTCTTTCTGAGGATTATGAAAAACTCCAATTCGCTCTCTCTCGGGATCCAAACGTGAATGCACCATTCGCATTAACCGGTAAAAATGTAACTATCATTGCTTTCGTAATTGTCCAGCTGTAAGCGTTTCTGTTTGTGCTGGAAAAATCAAACCCGAAAATTTTGTACAATTTTGTTGAAATTGAGAACTTTATGCTAAAATTGCATAAATTCAAAGCTCGAGAGTTTAGCAATAATGTCTTTAAGGCTCCTTTAAGGCTTTAATCGCCAAACTCGAAAACCGAATCACTGGTTCCCAGAGCTGCTTTCAGTTATACGCTCATTGAGCGCAACACATCTTGCAAAATATCTTTGTTTTCTTCCACCAGGCGTTTTGTGTAATCAAGTCATTGAGGTTCTTACGTCAACCACAGCACTAGCTCCAAACAGCACAGTGCTGAGGACAATGAAAACGTGGGCACCCACAGCGTTAGCACTAAAGAGCACAGTGTTTGGGACATGGAGCACGCAGGCAGCATTTGTTGTTACTACTCAGATAAGCCTCACAGAGAATTTTGTAAGCTTTACTTTTTTTCTCTTTTTGAACTTAAATAGGTGATTATCCCTATTTCTTTATGCACTTCATTACATGAAAGCGTTGTAAACAGTAAATAAACTACAACGAATCTAAAGGCATTGACAAAAATCATCATTGAATTAAAAGTCACAAATAATTAATTTTCCATTATTTGTCACCTTTACAGTCTAGCGGAGTCGGTCACTTCGCCTATTTGCCACTTCACCCACGCGCCGACCCACACAATATTTCGCTTGGTAAATATTACATGCCCAGATTTCAGAGGCAGGTAGGCCTGTGATCAACAGCAAATCTCCGCATTCTTGAACAGGTTTATTTCGTGCAAAAGAAGTTTGGAAAGCATGATTCTGTCACAGTGATACGAAATTTCGCAGCAGCGTGCACTAAGGCCTCATAAAAAGGGGGAAACTGGGTGCTAGTTCTGTGAACTAGCTCCCTGAGATATTTTTGAAGTTTATGATTATTTTATGTCAGGTTGTCAGAATTTGGAATATACAAATGTTGTCGCTGAAGTGCCTCAGGCTTCCAGCCATTTGATTCTGTTCTCGCTATGGGCGAAGCGCCCGCTTTTCGTTTTGCATCGGTTTACGTCAAATAAAACCTCAACAGTTTGAAAATCCACTATATCCTGGTATAGCTATTTTTTTCTTTCCTAGGAGTCAGGGTGGGTTTTGGAGGATTTGGGTAATTGTTTTTATGTGTCATCCTCTATTTGAATTTTGCCAAACGCCATGAGCAAAAGTGGCACGCGGGCAGTGTGCCCAAGTGGCCAATGGACGAGGTGGTTAGGGTGAAGTGCTCCATGGGAAAAGTTAAATAGGTGAAGTGACTGTAAATCAGGTATTCTGGGTTAGAAATCCATCCCGATGGTATTGATATACCAGAGTATGGCAAACACCAAAATCTACCCACTCAGGATATTTTAGAAATTAACTTTAAGAAATGAAAACCACGATTTGATTGAATCTGCCTACATTCACCTTTGTTACTTGTATCTATAGAGCTGGGCATCCAACCACTGGTATATCTTCCCAGTGTTATTTCTGGTGACAGTTGTAGTAGTGACCGGTGGTCTCATTATCAGATTTAAAAGGAATAAAAAGAGGTAGGTTCAATAAATCTTCGATTTATTTAGATAAGTCCTAAATTGGAGCTCAACTGTTTTGAATTGGTGGTTTCCAAGCTTCGGCGCAAGAGATAAGACATTGTTTTCCAGCAAAGCATGCTTTAACGTCTATACAATTGAAGTAGAAATCAAAGCAGTGTTGTATTCGAGTGCATCCCAAGTCCTTTCAGAAGTCCCTTCACAAGTCCAGTCACAAGTAACAGAGTGAACATTGAAAGCAAAACATTGTCACAGTTCGTTTGAATACCTTATGAATTGGCTGAAGACTGAATGACTTGTGATTGACTTGTGATGGACTTACAGAGACTTAAAGGGACTTGTAATGGACTCTGATACAATACACTGAATCCCGGTTGTGGCTGCACCGAATGGCGTCATTCGCCTGACTTTTCGTGGCATTGAAACGCAAATTCAACTACTTCATCTTCTTCTTATCCATTCAGAAAAAGGAATGTTATTTGTCAAAGAAGAAGTTCAAAATACCAACAAAGTAATTTGAATTTCATGCGTTTGACTGAGTTCAAAAGCATCGATGCTGACAAGCCGAGGCAAGGGGGGAGCGAGAAACCCCATGATTTCGTCTCTGGCTAACAGGTGGTCTTCCGTTATCAATGAATGTGCTACAGATTTCGTATTCCCATTCGCGAATGGTGCTCTGGACGTAATACTGGGTCTGCTAATTGCTTCAAAGTATGTACAACTAATGTGGTTGTGGTCGTCCATTATGAATAGCATATGTTGCGTTGAAACATTCAGAATGCTACACTTGTCGCCGTTTTTTCTTTTTTGTAGGATTTTTTCATGTAATTCTGTGGTATTTCGACTTGGCCAAAGCACACGTAAACCTAGACGTGCTGATTTTTTTCAGTTCCGTTGTAGGTCGTGGTGAATCTGACAAAACGCAAATACAAGTCGATGCTGACGATGCGACCTGCCTCCGCTCTGCATACAAGGTTGGCAACCAGGCGGTAACTGACGAACACGATAGTTCAGTGTTCTGCGAGGTTGACTCGGAAGTTCATGCCGTTGCTTATCGGGTTAAAAGTGACGGTGTTCCCGTTTCAGTCGACGCAGTGTACGAGGTGTGCCCTCCGGAGGGCGGGGACGAGCCCGTGTATGAGATGACTTTATGAACAGCAAAACCGCAGTCGTGCTTGTTATTAATAATGGCATACATCCAGGGCCTTGTTCAAAATTTGCCAAGTTTGGGAAAGGATTTAATAGCATCTTTCACTTGTCAATTGAAATAAGCGGAGAGTTTGGTATTCGCATTATCACTTGATGTCGAGGATGTAAATAAAATATCAATAGGTTGGTCGAATGAATTTCGCCTAACTGCCGTTTCAAGCGCTCTAAATACTGTTGATGACATGTATACATGTATGTCGGACAAGTTATGTTCCACTTTCTTTTTAATCGAATAGTAACTCTTGTGTCCAAACTGACAAAGTCCAAATGTTTGCCTCATTTATAAACCTTTTATTTTAGTGCTGCTCAAATCAGTGGTTTTATTTTTGTATCTGTGCGTTTATACACGAAATCCTTGTCCTGGTGAACACCACATCAAACCATTCGAAATTTTCGAGACGGTTAAAAAATTTTGATGTAGCGAAGCGTTCAGTCACTGAGATTGCCTTGATCTTCGATTAGGACAGATAGGCCTCAAAACACTCATTAGCAGTTTTAAAGCGTATCGAAACTAGTGGAACAAATGCTTGTTCGAATGTTAGTCATTCTTGCCGTAATGACAAACATCAAAAATAATAGAAAGGCTACTTATAAAGAGTACTGGCACATGAGTAATATTTCATTGCGTGGATGTCTTCATGCAGTTGACCTAAAAGAGACTGCGGGGAAATACACAGCACTTGAACCACTACTTCAGAGAGTGCGTATAAGTGTGGGAAATAAAACTTCGCCAAGCTTTAGTAAACATCTTGGTTTATCATTTAATTATTTACAACACTGAAAAGGTTGTAAACCTGTCAAAGCACATCAATAGTTCCAACAGGATTAATTTGGAACTTTTTTTAATTCTAATTAATTACACGATCCTGCGTCCATTTTTACCCGAATATCTTTTTTTTTTGAGATTTGTAGTCTTTATATTAGTGAAAATGTGATAAACATGGAGGGGTGTTCATTTGGGCGTGCCGTTTGGGTTAAGGGTTGCTCGTAATTATGTGTTGGTCTATATTTTTTATTTTCTTTGTTGTGCTCTGTGGGACTTGTTATCTTAACGAGTGGACATTGGCAACTGGTATTAAAGGACGATGTATAGATAGTTTTATCTAATATTTTATACAATTTTTATATGAAATGGATACTACTGCTTTGGTATAAATGTACACTGTATAGAGAACACGTTTACATTTTACCCTAGCGTGCATCCTCTCTTTGTGCTTAAAATGAAAAAATGAAATAGGAACAAACTTTTTGCAAGTCAACTTTTCGATGTGTTACAGCAAACTGACCGTGTTTAGTTACAGAGAACGTTAGCTGCCCTGGCATCGATGTGGTATAGGTCTTTTTGCGACTGCAGTCTGCTGAATGGAACTTAGGTAGTCCTTTTCTCCTTACCTGTGCCTGATCGGTTTGATGAAATTATCGCTGTTTGCAGCTCATCCACTGGTCTGCAACTTAAACGGCTGTCGTACCTGAAAACATTCTCACTGCAAAGAGTGAGGTGTTTAATTAAGAAACATCCAATTAAACTTCATTTTCTGGCCTTTCATTCTCGACTTACATTACTTCTTTTGCTTGGTTCGACGATGACTTTACTTTTTGAGAAATTTTCATCTGAAGACGTTCGGCCCTTAATGCCCACACTCCGTTGCAAAATTGAGCTATTTGTAGGACCCTGTTCTGCCCGAGTTTCAAAAGAGAGATAGCAGCCGAGTTCTGAAATCTTATGTTTCCGTGATTTATTAATAAGACGTGGCACAGCTTTATGGGGAAAATAAAATGATAGTGCTAAGTTTGACGCCATGGTTTGGCCTTGCTGCTAACATCGACAAAAATTAATAGGTTTGAATTTCCGTGGAATTATTCCTTATCTTTACCAACGTTACTTCACATGTAAATAGCTTTACTTCCTGGTTGATTTAAATTTCCATGGTTCTTCAGTTTAATGCATGAGAAATGAAAAATAATGGAATCTAAGTTATCTTTTATTCAAAATTGAATCTCAACTGCACAAGTTTCAAGGCACAGATCTAAATTTAGACCTTACTAGTGTTAGATCTTCAACGGCTCGACGATATCAGAGTCATACTTGATATGGTACTGAATCTCAATGATATGATTTTACGCGGCTCAATAGATGTCACATAGATAGAAAGTTTTCCTGATTGGTGACGTATGTTTAACTTACCTCTGAATACGAGGTTGTACCACTGAAAATGTAAGTGTATTATCATTTTAAAAATTCAACTCGCCTTTTCCGCTTAGTTATTGGAAACTACACTTTGAGAAATGAGAACGATTCGTAGCCAGGTTTCCGCATCGATATAACAATATCCAAACGTACATTCAGGCATAGGACTGAGTCTCAAAGAAGACGTGTCAAAAACAAATAACAGTAAAAATTTTCAAGCGACAATAAAACCAGATATTTCCATTAGGTCTATTGGATACTTTCATCGAAGCTTTTTCCAGAAAATAGTGAGAAAAACGTAAGTACGAATGCTGATATTTAAATGCAACCGCGACTGGTGTGGTGGCCTCTCGTGAGCTCCATAACCACCAAGCTAGCCGCTTGGTGTCACTTGGTGCTTCAGAAATATAAATACCATTGTTGTCAGCAGCTTTTACGATACATTGTCTATGTTGACAGAAGTCTTGTGAAACGTCATAAAATTTTAAACTGAAAGATTTAGTGGGAGGGGTTTGTGTATTACAATTCAATGCATGCAATAAAAATATTGCTTTTGTAAACACAAATTCTGTAAGTTGGACATTCAGACCCAGCACTCTTACAACAAAGATGAGTTGGACTTTCATCGTTGATGAATTGGGCAGACTGGATTCGATTCTCTCAGAGCCAAATTGGATTGGAAAATGGCCGCTTTTGTCTTTGTTTTGCTGGTAATCATCGTACAGGTAAGCCTTAAGTTTGTTGTAGTAACTCTATAATATAAATATTCCTTTGGTTTATGAATGCATTGTTCTAGAGAAACTAGCGAGGCCAGGGGTTGCAGGCCATAGAATGCAACAGGTTGAAGAGTTTTCAGCAAGGTCAGACAAAATCAGGACATCAAAATGGACTTAATATCTATTTGCCAAACTTGGACTGTGAAAAAAAGTGACAGAAAGTATTCCAAAATGTACTACTTTTATCTTCATTTAAGCGGCTTCATAGCCTATACTAGTTTGTATTTAAACCTAATTGGGATGGATTTCTCCTCATGCAAACAAATCCCTTGTTTTGTCACAGCACGGAAATTTCATCTTGTTAAAAGAAAATATCCTGTGAGTTTTGTAATTATGGTCATTTTATTTAAGCACAATTGTGAAGTATAGATGGTTAAATTTCAGTGGTGCTCGCCTGTGCTACCGAGCGCCACCGTGGAGTTCAAGTTCCAGCGTTGGAGTAACCCTGATCACTCGGAGTTGGTCGGCGGCTGCTGTGATCCTGGATGGAGCTGTGGATCTTGTGACAACTATTTCATCGTGTGTCTCGACGACGACGTTCCTGGGTGAGTCATTCTTGAATTAGTTTTGTATCCTCATTTTAAAATTACCTCTCCTTCTAGGGCACCAATATATACATATAACACTTCACTTTTGCAACAGCATTCCTGCCTCATAAGTGACATATCAAGTTGGGATGGGGGTTCAGAATATTTTGTGGTGGGCATGTGAAAGAGGAAATAAAACAAACCACGCCCCACAACACCCCAGAATTCGGACAGACATGTGTTCCAATTTTCCACTGATTGATGGGCCACGTTGTGTTGACTTTCAACGGTGAGCTGTTGCTAGAGACAGCGGCGCACCCAGGATTTGTCGTTAATGTTCAAGCCCCACCGCAATGTACGATTATTGTTAGAGCTCGTAGTTTTAGATGTAGGTGTATACTGTGTGTTCATTTTGTTCATTTTTACTGTGAGTCCAGCAGAAGACCTTGTTATCATTGCTGGACATGTCCTGGAGTTTCAAAGTTTTCTTTGAGATCAATCCGTATGTGTCATTAGGGAAATTAGTCTGGTTCCCCTAACCAAGCTCTGTATATATGACAGGAAGGTCAGACAGCCTACAATCTCACCTGACCGATCCCGCAGGGAGTTATCCTGATAATCCTGAAATTAACGGACACAGAACGGCATTCAGAAGTAAATCGCATTTGTGAACTCCACGAATTTCTAATAACTTTCCTCGTCAACAACGTCAATAACGTGATAGAAAGCTCCTAAAAGGTTCAGAAACCTTCATATTAATGCCTTTGCCCTCTCTTCCAGGACGAACGATTTCAACGATTGCGGGCTAGCATACATTGTGACAGGTGTTGTGTTTGATGACAACGATGAATTTGACTTTCCTTCGACCATTCCGAGCGGCATTCAAAATCCTAAATCGGTGCCCGTTCTCAGTTGGCAGGTGAGATACTGTTCAAAACAGATAATTTTACTTTGCAAAAATCACTTGGTGTTTAATTTCACAGCTTCATTTTTCTTTTCTCTTTCCCACTTTAGGGAAAGATGCGAGTTAAACTTCGTGTTTGGGATGAGGACAGTAACGCTGACGATCTAATCGAAGAAGCTTTCACAAATATCGTTCAGAGCTCCTCCGCTTCACAGTCTGGTGCCCAGTGGCAGACCTACACGATGGGAACACACTCGGAGTACGTATACATGCCAAACCTCAGTGTAAGGTTTTCAACGATTACCTTAAAAGACCATGCTCCTTTCTACCCGCGTTTCCTCTAGTCATCATTATTTTGGATAAATAGAAAAAAAGAAACTCATAATCTAGAGCAAGTGGGACCTAAGGAAAGGAAATTGTGCTGTTAGCACTTCAATTGTCCCAACCAAAGTGGTTCATCAGATTGGTGTTTATCTCTAATTTCCACGGTGTATCCAAAGGAGAATACTTCTATCAACCCCCTTTTCAATTCATGTCAGTTTAATAATTGCGGGCTATCCCTTGCATATCGAATTTCATTAACCCTCCTTGCTCCAGGGTGCGGACGGGCAAACGGGGATATAGTGGCTTGCCCAAGACCACAAAATAATGAATTCAACCCCGACCCTGTTACAGAGGGACGCAAACTCTGACAGCCATATGGCCACAACGCCGCAATGTTTTATTAGTACGCTGTGTATAATCTACGGTCTTCTTCAAACTTCTTTCACTGTTTTCCGGTAGTTTCACTTTCCGAGTGAGGGTGTACTGCAACCCTAACTACTACACTTCAGACTGCAGCGTATATTGTGTCCCTACGGATAACCATAATGGACATTATACCTGCGATCAGACGACAGGGGCAAAAATATGCAACGATGGTTGGGAAGGTACTTGTTCGTATCAGTTTTTGATTGTAGTCACCACGGTGAGAGATTACCCGATTACCGTTTCTTTTGTGTGATTGAAATGTCCACTCTAATATTGGACCTTTTGGGGCTGATTTCTTGATAGTGTATTAAAACATGAAGATTAATTAAACAGCCTCGATTCTTGATTATCAGTAGGTAAGTTCAGTACTATTGTATCCTTACTTCTTCGTGTGACTCGTCGTTCTGGGTAATTTCAGGAATTGACTGCAATGAGGACATAGACGAATGTCAGACTGGTCCCTGCCTACATGGAGCTACCTGCCACAACGGGATGAATCAGTTTTCGTGTTTCTGCACGGACGGCTGGACAGGTGAGTTGAGAGATGCCAGACCTTGGGCACGAGGAAAATGAGCTGACTTAATAGGCCCTGTTCTAACGATGCTCTGACCAAATACAATTAAGATTTCGCCACCAAAACGTCAATCAGTACTTACGCACCCAACCAACGTAGGGACGCGCGTGTCTAGAGCCCACGCATCGTTGAATTGCAAGGGTGATGGTGTGTACATGCGTATCGGATTGGCTGGAATACCCGGTATAAATTGCATTTCATGTTTGGTGCAAAGAGAGTGGAGTTTGGAATCAAATTGGGTGGTCCGTCAGTAGCTTGTTCAGTAGAATGGCTGTTACGTCAAACTCATACAAGGGCGTGAGCTGGGAAGTGGCATGTTCGATCTTCAGAGTCGGTCAAACGAATGGATTGTGCCTGTCTTTTAAACAAATATTTACAATGAACGGCCATCATTTGATTTCTCTAAAAAAATGGAAAGGCGACTGTCCTGAATGTGATTTTGATAGAAATTATGTAATATGACGTCCACTAGGGCCTACACCAAAATCACATCCGAGCCAGAAATTACAGTATTACATGTCGTCAATGTCCAATATCACATTCTGTGTTAGTGCCTTGCCAAAATTACATCCAGTCTCTGGTCATTTACCAAAATCATTATCCTGGCTGTGATTTGTGGCTCAGATATGATGTTACACGTTGCCTGCTAAAATCAGATTCTATCTCCAATATAACATCCACCCATATCGTCTTTCCGTTTTGGTAAATTACATCCAGACCGTTCACAGTGTTAATGGGAAGGCCTCAGTCAATGGAATATTTCAGTTGTATCCAAATGAAGCTCTTTAAATTTTCTCTTCATGAAGGTAATCGTTGTGAAATTGATGTGGATCAGTGTGAGACCAACCCCTGCCACAACAATGGCACGTGCTACGACTTCCCTGGTTTCTTCAACTGTTCCTGTGACCGCGACTTCTCATACCTTAGCGATTTGTGTGATATAGACTATTGCGCTGATCGGCCTTGCCTGAACGGCTCAACCTGTCTCGTCCACCACAGCAACTTCTCCTGTGTTTGTGCGCCTGGATTTGAAGGGTCTTTGTGCGACGTGGACATTGACGAGTGTGCAGACGAGCCTTGCCAAAATGGCGGCAACTGCACTCAGGGCTTAGGTTGGTTCAACTGCACGTGTCCACTCGGCTATGAAGGAGAGCTCTGCGAGACAAATATCGACGAGTGCCAGTCTACTCCGTGTTCCAATAGCGCAACTTGTGAAGACCTTGTTAACGCTTTCCAATGTAACTGTCCCGTCGGATTTGAGGGAACACTTTGCTTGGACGAAATAGATGAGTGCTCACCAGACCCTTGTCAGAACAACGCCACGTGCATTGACCACGTGGGGTATTTTGAATGCAGTTGTTCAGTTGGCTTTTATGGAGATGTGTGTCAGGTAAATTTTTTAAACGAAGTTGGCCTGACGGAAACAGCTAAAAAGCTGCACAAACATGTTAATGGTGATATTTTTAAGCATTTGACGCTGCTCAAAATGTCAACATTGCTTCTATTACAGGTTGACATCGATTACTGCATCAACCAAACCTGCACGAATAACGGCACGTGCGTAGACCGACTGGAGGGGTTTCACTGTCTTTGTGAAACGGGGTACGAAGGTGTTTTGTGTGACGTTGAAACAGACGAATGTGCCAATGATCCATGCCTGCACAACGGAACGTGCCACGACCTTATCGGACACTACAGGTTGGTTTTTGCTACAAAACAACGATTGCAATTTTGCCACTAAGGTTTAGAGAACATTTTTCTACGTAGGATTATTTATGCGTGTTTCTTACCACAAGGTGTACATGCGGAGATGGATACGAAGGTGTGGATTGCGAGAAAGAAATTGACGAGTGTCAGAGTTCTCCGTGTAAAAACGGCTCAACCTGTATCGATGGGCTCGCTGGTTTTGACTGTCAGTGTGCTGCTGGCTTCGAAGGCACCTTGTGTGACGTTGAAACAAACGAATGTCAGAGCTTCCCCTGCTATGATAACGAAACATGTATCGATATTCTCGATGGTTTTAGGTGAGTTTCTTTCTAAAAAGCATTATTTTTCAAGTTTTCCTCTTTATCTGTGTTTATCTTGATCCAATTTTTCGAAGTATGTTGATAGAAAAATCTGAAGAATATAGAAAAGATTTTATAATATCCGGATATCTTTCCGGTTTGTGGAATAAACGTTGAGTGATTTTCCTTTCAGGTTTTGGGATCCAGCCATTATTGTTATTAACTCAAAAAGAAAAGAATTTTACAACTTCAGTGTTTTGTATTTGTTGTATCAAACGAAATGAATTCCATTGTTTACCGCCAAATGGTTCTTCGTTTCTTTTGCAGGTGCGTGGATGGAGTAGATATGTGCGAGAATCACTTTTGCCAAAACAACGCCACTTGTCACGACAACGACAGAGGGCCCGGATACAGTTGCAAGTGTCCGCCTGGGTACGACGGGCTCCTGTGCGAGACGGAGAAAGACGAGTGCGGAAGCTCTCCTTGCCTCTACGGCACGTGTCGAGATCATGTTGACGCCTTCTCCTGCGACTGTGCCCCTGGCTACGAGGGAATTCGGTGCGAGAATGATACGGATGAATGCGCCAGCGCGCCCTGTGTGCATGGCAAGTGTGTCGACTTTGTTAACGGCTTTGAGTGCATCTGCGCGGTAAGAAGTAGAAGTAGTAATAGTAGTAGTTTCTTCTTCAAGAATTTCACGAAACTGATATTTGGAAATAACTCAAAAAGGGGAAATTTTTGTTTGGTAAAAATCCGTCACAAATTGAAGTGTTTTATATAAGGGACATACGGTTGAAATTTCAACCCAGGAAAGTGAATTTGGTTTAAATTGGAGTGATTTGAAATTTTTTGCATGTTGTGTGGGAGTTTTGTACACGAGAACAAAGGAAATGCCCCACAAGTATAGCTGTGTAAGGATGGGTGTGTGTGAGTTTGTTTCTGCATTCAATAGGGGACCCTGAACAATAGAGGACAATAAGGTCCCCCATTGACAGAGGTTCCCCGATTGACAACTGTGTACAAAACATATGGGTGGTCTTGTAAAAAAAGTTAAAGTACAAACAAAAGAGGAACAATAGGAGGTTCCCAGTTGCAGGCAAATACACACTTACGTGTGTATGTGTTGTATCTGGGGTTTCCATGTTTTCCAAGGAAGCAGTATTTCTGACAACCGGGGACAAGTCTATTGCCACCATCGTTCATACCTAGTTCCTACCAGAGATATCTGGGCATACACTCCCAGGGCTGTAAACGACTCAGTCAAACGTTTTTGTAACAACTGCAGCAGTCCTGGGAGACGTCTTAAAGGGGTCATTTTGGTAGAGGTGGATAATGGACCTTGAGCTGGACCAAGAGAGGGCGCAAGTTTACTGCGCTTCGCTGGCTCATTAACGACTATGAAGTACAAACGTTGCAGTTGCATCAGTACCAACAAATTGAACACGCCCAACCACAAGTGCTCTTTTCAACCGATGAGGGGGTGCTTCTGCTGAGAGCGAATAAATCTGTTGATCGGATTTCAAATGGCACCAAGGCCTGTCACAGGAGGGTATGAATAAGTGGATGAGGTCTCTCGTTCTAAACAGAAGAACGCCCTGCGTCCCTCTCTTTTTCCTGTTTTCTGCGTAATAACAGCTGGAGTGTACAAACGGTCGCTGTGAGGACGGCGTTTGCCTTTGCACTAATGGCTTCGAAGGGGAGGACTGCAGCGTCGAGACGGACTACTGTAAGAGCTCTCCCTGCTCCAAGGGAACATGTGTCCCGTTATTTAACAGTTTTAGGTCAGTATAGTATATAATACCCATCCGGATCTCAGTGCATTATGTATGAGAACGAGCCAATTGCTGAAGCAATAAAACGGTCGAATGATACATAATGGGAATAAGTTCGACAAGCAGCACATCTGAAAAACATGTTCATGTTGCTAGTTGTTTTGCTCTATCTTTTTCTTTGCCTCTCTTCACTCTACGGTTCTAGTTCCATAAGGAGCATGGTCAACATGCCGTGTTTCTGCGCTAGATTTAATAGGAAAGTTAACTTCTTTACAAAGTTTTGTATTTGCAATTACAACTAAATGTATGCGAAACAACATCGCGCAAGTTTAGCCCAATACAACAATGAAGGGAACAAACAAGCGACCAAGAAGAATAAATTAATAAATAGCTCAAACATTCGAACAATAACGAACTCTAAAGGCACGGTACTTGAGCCATGTATGTGAAATAACTCTAGCTTGTAAACAAATCCCGTTCATGTTTCGTATTTATTGTTCGATTAGATGCGAGTGTGATCCTTTCCACGAGGGAGAATACTGCAAGCAACTGATCGAGGATCCGTGTTCCCAATCACCATGTAACAAGAACAGCCAGTGTTCGCTGTCTGCAGACGAGCCTGATGGGTACCAGTGTATCTGTAACGACGACTTCTACGGAGATAGATGTGATATAGGTATGCGATATGACATGTAGGCTTATAGTAGGAAAGTGCAGAAGCTAGCGCTTACACTTGAGAGTACTGACTCTCAAAAGTAACTTACGGCAGTCGGTTGAAAGATATTTTCAGGAAGTGGTTAAAGTTTCACCTGAACACATTTAGCAGTTTTTTCTGTTTAGTCTTAAAGGCTCAATTGAATGTTTTGACCCGTGGCGGATGCAGCGTGGGGGGGGGATTAGGAACATGCTACCAATTGACTTTAGAAACGGTACGAAGATCTTCCATCGAAGGAGGAGGATTCCTCCTTTTGCGCATGCATGAAAAACGACTTGGACAGCTGATCTGAGCACCCATCACTGTTGATAAACCGGGCTATTACAGAACGAAAAATTCCATGGTGTCAGATGTGCTGGTAATATATTAACCCTCCTTTTGCTGCAACAGTCACAGACAGTCAAAAATTCCTTCCACTTCCCCTGTACAGTACATAGACACATCCTATGTCACTTGACTGATTTTGACTGATATGAGACAACTGTGTTGAGAATGCGTCTTTGCATCTGAATTAAGTAAAAAGCGTTTTGACAGGAAAACGTCTACTTCAAGGCGTTAACATTGAAAGTCGCTTATTGGCTTGGCACATATAATACATAATATGATGATATATTACTCTCATGTTTCGGCCAAAGTAGTCTCTTTCATTAAGGGAAGTGGATACTTGACATGACGAACATGTTTGTAAGATGTTATTTGATTGCTTTCTTTCCAGCGTTGAAAGAGTACGGTTGCAGTATTTTCATAGTGGGGAAGCTAACAGACCTTGCAAATTTCAAGAGTCATATGGCCAGCTTCTTGAAGTTGCTGCTGTCTTCGACGGCTGCGCGAAAAGTCCAGAACTTGACAGTCGAAGTTGTTAGAACTGAAGACTACATCAAGTCTAATACCGGGTAACACCGACATTGAATGAAGGAACATGTTTGTGTCAGTTCTTATACAGGTTTTAACATTTTTCAGTGAGCTGGAAAGTTTGCTTTACGCACCCAGAAAGCATAATTGACACTAATTCTTGTATAAAACTCATTTTGTTGGATCAAGTCCCACTTGTTTTACCAAAAAGAAAACAAACGAGACAACAAACTTCACATATTTAGCGATGAGGAAGGATTGAAGTAAGACCCAATTCCAAGTAATTAGTTGACAAAACTAATGCAACATCTGGATCTTGTGTCCTGCACGGTTAAGTCTAGGTTTTTGGTTTGGTTTCAAAAGCATGAGAGCAAGCTACCAAAAGACTTACAGCCCTCGCTTTTGAAGAGTGTTTCGGATTTGGATTTCACTCCCAATCATACCCGAAATCCAGAACATATAGAGAGAGTAGCACTAACTTCAGACTTTGAAATCAAAAAGGCTGTCACTTTTATGTGCAATACAGCAGCATCTATTGCTTGCTGATTGTCCATGTGCACTGACGCATAATCTATCATTTTGGTTCGAACAAGTGAGACACTTATGTCGCAACTCCCTCTAAACAGCTCTGTTAAAATCCATCTTTCGACATTTCAAATCTTCCGTTATGCCCTCTTTCGTCTGTTCATTCAACACCGCAGCTGGGCAGAGTATACATTCTTTATAGAGCGGTTTGACGATGGGAAAGCCTGTTGATACCAGTTTTCAGTACCAAATAACTTCTTCTGTTGATACCGCAGGGAACCGCTTACCCGCGTCACCTACGTGGTTTGGTCAACCTCTACAGCAGTGCAGCCCCTCCCTAAGGCGGAGGTGGAGAAGGCGGTGAACGAGGCTTCTCTCTCCGAGGTGAAGGAACAGCTTGGCTACGATGTCTTTCGTGGAAAGGCCGAGCCGAAGCCCCCATTGTCAGATAACCAGGTGAGATGATGGAATTCCAGAGGACTTCCAGTTGTCCTTAAATTCTTTTTTTTCCCTTGTGCTGCTTTGGATGTGATTCGCACTACAATTCCAAATGAGGACAAGTTGTCCTAGTGTGTAATTATATGTTTTCAATATACACAAAAACACGTCAAAACACGTCGTACTCTGTACCCAATCAATCAACATTTAACTTCACATCGGTATCCCCAGTAACTTGACGATAACGATACGTACTCACGTACATATACTTGTAAAGTACAACACTTTTTACATAGATGAAGTACATAAAAGCACTGAAATGTGAGTATTGAATGAATAAAGAAAGTAAAGAGCCGTTTTCAACATTCAATTTTATTGTAAGATCTGGTACAGTATATTTTATAATGACTAGTCTTGCTAACCATGAGATTTGATAATGATATTCTGAATTTCTTGGTAAATGAAATAACAGTAGTTTTTCTAATCCTGTATTAAGCTTATTCCAGTATGTAACACCACTTGAATGAAATGTTTCTAAAAACAAAACCTCTAATTTGTGTTACAGATATTGCTACAATGCAATATGATTGACTGAGGGGATTATTTAGAAATTGACTCCATTTCTTTCACAAAACAGCATGTCAAATTACTCTATAGGCCTGCTATCGAGTTCGACAGTATCTTCAGAGAAGCCTTTAATTCTGAAGTAATCAGTGTCTAATTTTCCCTCAGTGAGTTTTACCATTCGTTTCCTTGTGTCATTGCTCTTTTCTCCGTGAATCGAAAATTATTCTTCGAAACCACTTTTGAACTGAATAAATCATCTATTGGTCATTTTCCAACTAGAACTGGGCAGCCTCTCACTGGTACGTCTTTCTCATCATCACCCTGGTAGTGGTGCTCGCTGTGGCGACGGCTGTTGCTCTCAGAATCAAGCATACGAGACGGTAAAGAGATTTATACTTTCCATAAATTCCTCAGAAAAACCCATTCAGTGTCGCGGATTTGAGAACGCTGCACAGATTCCTCTTTTTTAATTGTTATGAACGAATCTTTTCTTCACGACACTTCCTATTTTCTTCTAGTCCGTAATGGGATCTTGCACCAGTTTTCCGGGAGAGGACGAAAATTGTTTTGGAGGCAAAAAAGTCTTTTATGTAACCTTTTACTGTTGATGTGTTTGGAAATATTTTAGGCCTTATTTACATGCCTTAAAATGAAGGAAAGGATACAGCCCAGAATTGCCTCTACCTCGTTATTTTCAAAACGTAAAGAAAATCTCCCTGGGCCATATCCCCTGTCCCCCCTCCCCCATTTAGCGTTTCAACTGACCAAACCCTTTTTGTGTCCGCTGTGGAACAATGCAGAAAACACAACTGCACACTTTTAATGTTTCTGTCTCGTGTTTTTTTTTTCAGCATCCTTCAGGTGAGCCGACCATCAGGGGCATTGGAGTTGCAGGAAGATCTGGAGGATGACGGACTCTACAATGTCTTGGCAGAGATGGATGTGAACACGAAGAGGCAGATCGCTGATGGCGCCGTCCCGGCTGCGTCCTGCGCAGTTTCAGTGCCTGTGAAGGACGGCCCCGGCGAATATGCCGAGACAGCTGTTGACCATATCTATTACGAGACTCCGTATGGCATAAAGCCACTTGAAAAATAGATCAATCCCCTCCTTCCGCTTCCATCCCGACACGAGTCCGCCAACAGAGGGCGACAAACCTCTGAATGTATTGTTGCATCCGATGTTCTTTCATTACCTTTTAATCCATGAAAACAAACATTTAGTTTTATTTCAAAAGTCTAATTATTTTTGACGCTCAGTTTCGTTTGAAGGCCGATTCATACATGGCACAAATGCGAGCAGGAACTATCGCGTTGCGAATTCGTAAAAGTCTAACACATTTATCTCGTGAGAGAAATTTTGGTGCAAATATTCAAGATGTCAACTTCACTTTGTTTTCGCTTTCGCCTGAAGTTGGAATCGGTCTTAACGCGAAAACAATTCACCCTCATATTACCTGTTCATATATTATGCATGCAGTTTCCAGACAAATATTTTAAACAAATTAAAACCAAATAATAATACTTCCAAATAGGTACATGTTAACGTGGCAACTGTGCCTGTGCTATTTCACAAATTTCGTGCTATAAAGCGCATACATAACTGAAATCTGCACTCTAATTAAAACACAGCCTTTTTAACATTACAGTCTCCTGATTTTAAGAATCATAAGATATTACGATAGAGTCAAAGCAAAACAAATCGTCGAAAGGACTTAGAAACGATACAATTTGCCCCAAAAGTTTAATTTGAAGTGTTGACTGATAACTAGAAAACTTTGAGGAGCAACATGTATGTTGGATTAAGTGCATGTGCAAGTTACGAAAATAGAGACTCAGTGCCAAGTAATAGTTTTCAAACCAAAGAGTGAGATTCAAGAATAATCTTCGTTTCATTAGCACTTATGGGATTCGTAACGCTGCTACTTATAAACAGTGTTAATTTTTGCAGCATAATCCACAGATTTACTGCGAAAATTGTGTGTAGCAGTTTGTTGAGACTTTTCTAACGATTCCTGCCCTCAGAGGGTGAGTACATGTCTAAATACTAGACATATTGAGACTATTTGATGGACAGTTTTCAAGCACATGAACATTAGGAACTGAACATGTAATGTGTAGTTTCTAAATGTTTCTTAAAAGTGACAGCAACTTGAAGATAAGGCTTAAATGCTAACTGTGGGCTGATTTCTTGCTTTTACACATAAAAACTTCGCAGATAAATGCATACAGTGCGAAAGCGTGCCCTTTTTCCTTTACCATCAAAAGTTTATAAAAGTGCCAGATAAAATAACTCATCACTTGCAGTATTCTGGCGTTTACTTCGACTTAATCACAATATTAGATTCCTCCACTTGGGTTACCATTACACGGAGACGATTGATGCAGGCATGAGGAAAACGTCTGCAGTTTGCAAGTGAAGATATAACTGAGTTCAAGGTATTGTACTGTTTGATTTTATTCAGGTCAACAGAGCAAAGGAGTGCTGTTAGTCTCAACCATTACATCAGTTGTGTTTTATAATATTTAATTGAAGTACGTTAACCAGCTCTGGAGCATGGTGTTAATAGCTGAATAGAAGAATCAATGATGAACCCCCCCATGACAATCGAACATCACAAATTAATTGACCATCAAATGTTTTCCCATCATCCGTTAAAACTTTCCTTTCTTGAAGGCTTGTTTTAACGTTATTTTTTCCATGTGCAGAAGGCTTCTATGAAAACATCGTGTGCAATCACGTGGTTAACCTCAAGTTTATAAACGTTTTTCGGCTTTATACCCGGCTTCATTGATTTGTCCTTCGAAGAAGAACTGAAAGAACAACCGTCAGTAGGCCTAATGGGAGCAGTGACCACCCTGCCCCCCGTTTTTTTTCCTGACAAACGAAGATACAATACATATAAACCTCTACATCCTAACACAATGAGCTCTGTATCCGAAATTTCAGTCCCGTGTAGACAACGGGGGGTGCTTGAAATCGTTAGCTATTTTATGGGTGAATTCTGGTCTGAGCCCCCCCCCCGACAAATCCCAGGTGCACCACTGAAAAGGGGCAGTTCTGTGTGTGGTAGTGCGCACCTCGGCACTGTAATCACTTCCGAGGAAGCCACCAATCCATTTCCCTTTAATAATTCCCAACACCTACCCACGCAAAAGAGAGCGAAATCCTAAATTGAACACAAAATATGTATTCTAAGTCGCAGGTTATCAGGCTTCGGTGCCCACTGAAAAAATGTTTGCACCCCAGCGCCCCCAAAAGTCACCCCAATAATGCCACTAGTTGACAATAATGTGCTAAAGGCTGGATTCGGGGGGGGGGGCAAAAAACTTGGATCTTTTTTATGAAACCTTTCATTGCCGTAAGTGGTGAGGCTACGTTTAAGGGCTTTTTACACGCTTTTGGAAGGAAGGGGAGTGAAATAGACCCCCCCCAAAAAAAATAGTGGCCTTTCTCTACTAATTTTCCCAAAAACAAACAATGGGCTCTTTAGGGTTTCAGTCCTTAACTGATGCTGTGGGTTTGCCAGGAATATTTTTCCAGGGTTTTCCTCCCGCCTCTAAAGTTGAACATTTCTTCAATGTCTTTCCCCCTCTGCTGGGGCCGTTGGAGAGAGCAGTATGTAATTGACAAGGCTTTACACTGGTTGTACAAGGAAATAATTAACGGCTACTGACTGCTTCGATGTGGGCTATAATGTTTAAACAAGCGAGGTACTCACAGTGCCCGCTCGCAGGTCACTGTATAAATCAATTTGTTGAGCCCAGAAATTCGTTTCAAACAGTTGAAAGAGAATAAATGAAAGCAACATCTGAGTGAATATGCAATAATGTTCGAATAAAACAGCACATTCAACTCATAGCTCTGTCTACCTGTAGGGTGTAAATGTAGAAGTTACCCCCCCCCCAAAAAAAAAGCCCCCACATGACATACGTTTGAAGGGAGACATTCGCTGTTGGGTTTCCCTAACTCATTGCCCTATAATTTATGGAGGCATAGCAAAACTCAATTTGGCGTAGAGGCCCGTTTCAGACGTCGTGCTTCTGCCGTGTCGAACTAAATTGAACTTGGCGCGGCAATAGCGCTGCATAAGCACGGGGGTGGTTTCAAACGTCAACTTAATTTAAACTATCTAGTCGAGCTTAAATGCATCCAATATGGCGGACCAACACGGCAGAAAGCGTGACTTTTCTCTCTTACATAAGATTCGAGCTGCTAGAAGACAAAGAATTTTGCTGCAGCAGACACTTCTCAATCAGGTACTGGTTTCCCGCAGAAGAGCCCTTATATCGTGTGCAGTTTGCTGACATTGCCGTGAGAGAACGTGGCAGTGCCTCAATCCTGCCGACGCCTCAATAGAAACATAACCAGATGGTTTGATTTCATTAAGGAGTCGTACTCCAACAGGAGGTTCAAGAAAACCTTTCGTGTATCAAAGGCCACTTTTCACTTCATCTTGTCTCACATCAGATACGAACTGAAAAAGGAAACTGTAACTGAAATCCCTATTTCACTCGAATTCAGACTAGCAATCTGCCTATATCGCCTGGGAAGAGGGGATTATCACTACACAAAATATCTTTATTATCACTACTTTGCATTTCTCTGGTCTTTCCTTCCTCCAACCCATTGTGCAGCTTTTTTCTTCCTACTCTTTGTTCCCACACACTCCTTTGTCACTCTTCCTTGACCTATCACCTTTCATCTTTACCAACTTTTCCCACTTGGCCTTCCTTAATATCCCTTGCGGTTTGTCCTTCTCTCTCTGTCCTTTTGTCCATGTCCCACCCTTTCATGTTCTGGGCTTTTTGGGGAGACTTTCCATTCCCCTTCGTGTTTCTCCCTTCAGCTCTGCCTGTTTATGTTCACATTGCATGTCCAGTGCTGTAACCCAGCCATTTGTCTCTTAGCCCTTGAAGAAGAACTTGCCAAGTTCGAAATGTCAGGACGCACTATTTTTGATTGATCCATTCATAACTGATTAGAATGTTCGCGATTAATGCAGAGCTCAAACGAGAAACATAAAAACTGTACACTTTTTATAAGTCCATATCAATATCAAAAACAGAGCTCCGTATAAAGAATGATAGTGTTGAAGCGGAGGGAAGGGTAAGGGGAAACTGCATTCTGTGCCCCCTTGCCCTCGCTGAGAAGAGCCTGGATAAGTAACGGGGGAGGCAAGTGACCCCTTGCGAGAACATTTGCCCCCATCTTAGCTACGCCACTGAAGAATATCGACTCATTGGCAGGCAGAGGTGACATAGATGTCTCAGAACCAGCACAAAGGTACTTCGTCGGAAAATAACAGGAACTTCTGTTACCTGATAAAGTTGTGATTTAATCAGCCATCGCATGTTTAAGGTGACTCGAGCAAGGGTTGGCCGTTGTTCTTGTCGACTCGACTACAAATGTTGATTGGTTTAATCGAAAGTTTACAAATAGTGCGTGTCACATCATCCGTCTATACTTTTATCCAGGGTTGTTAGCGTGCAGTGTTAGAGATTCAAGTTTCCAGAGTGTCTCTGATCAAAAGTTTGTGTCAACGTACCAAATTACCTTGACTTCCGGCCAACGGACATGAAGAGCATTCTAGCAGCTAATACCTGTTTACAGTGCATGGGTAAGGGGTAACTCGTACGAGAGTTAACCAGGGACAAGGTGACTCGGTTATTTGGTGACTTGCCCTGCTCATAATAAATGCACCTGTGTGTGTCAGTGAGTGAGATAACACGAGTTTAGGCAACAACATGTCCAGCCAACATCCACCAATAAGACTCAACCAATATGAAGTGTGCTGGTGATGTATGCGGGTTGCGACGTGCAGGGACCAATCACAAACCAGGCCAAGTTCACCAGTCACTGCTTGGGAAACGGCTGGTCAGCTTAATAAAGATACGAGCGGCCACTCCAATCCTCAGAACGACCACTGCTGAACGACCATCTTCAGCCAGCAACACACTGAAAAAGAAGATTGTCAGCAAGAGATTGCAAGGTGAGTAATATTTTCGGAACAGATTTCTTAATAATGCACGTGTACAATCTTGAAATTGTGATTTCAAGCAAGGCGCCGTTACTTCGCTCCTAAGTTCCAAATGTTGGCTGGAAGCACAGTCCCCGGGGCAAATTCTGTGGTTATTTGAATTAGTACGATTTACATTCTGCAAGACATCGCCGAAAACGAAGGGAAACAAGGCAGGGCGTGGTTGTGTTGGTGAAAAACTCGATGTGATCAGTCTATATCGATTTCCTATTTGACGAAGAGAAAAGTTTTGCTTGGCATTGCAAAAGCTATTTTTGTGTCTCTGTTTATGGGAGAGAAATCAGAAGTACGTGTATATTGAAGGAAAAGGAAACGAACGTCGTATTTGTTACGAGATAAATATTGAGCTGTTCCGGATTTTTTTCTTTCGGTTTTATATTTAACAATGGTGTATTTTTGTGCTCGCTATTCTCAAGCAAGCCCCGTTAAACGGAACAGGCAATTTAAGTGACAAATGGCTTCATCATCATAACATCACAATAACGAAACATGTTTGAGTTGCAGTTGCTTGAAACGAACAGCACATGGCATTTTACAATGAATGGAGTCGATCATTTTGATCCATGATTGCAGAGCTACAGAGCGCTACATAATTATTTCCAACCTGTCTCCTTTTCGTTTCCTCCGTTTTAAAGTTTTGAAGCCGATTCCAATAAACCATCGCGACGTCTGCTTTGAGATTTCGTCTTAGACCCAAACGTAAAGCAGACTCTTCAAGGTGAGAGCTTTTTTTCTTCTTCTTTTTAGAAAAACCAAATTCCGGATCACCCAAGGTTTTGGACGCCTAATACCTCAATTTGCATCAACATGTACGCCTAACCTGATCTGTCTTTTGGATTGAAAAATTAAAAATTCTTTTGTCTGAGTTAATGACGATATATCTGAATATACTTTCCTGATTTACTTTTTCAAAATGCTATTTTTATGCAGTTCCACAAGGGATTAAAGGGTAGCTGTAATTTGTTTCGATACAAACCTTCAAATGTACGTTTGCGTCTCAGTTAACCTCATTTACAACCTTTGTTTCAGTATTTCAAAGGGTATTTAACGGCCTGTTTAGTTTTTATCCTATAAGTAATATCAATATTCATGAGCAAATCTGTGATGTGATCCCAGGAAGCCTCAATGTTGCATTTGTTTGTACACAAAAAGTCCTTTTTTAGATTTTCCTGGACTCAGTTTTTTTCTTTTTTGCTGATTTATTAATTGATGCTCATGTGCGTAGAAATAATCAAGTGTCAATCTCTCTCTCAAAAATGTTTTCAGTAAGTAGATTCTGGGTTCACAATTTCAACAGAAACACCTATAGTATGCACTGAACCATATGCAAGTCACTACACCAAATACGCGCCGATTGAAAACAGTGCAAAATCGGACCGAAATACCGCCGCCTGTTGACTCTCGTGAAGAGGTCGGCCTCCGTTTTTTTCACTGGAAATTCAAGATGGTGGCCAGAAGATCCCTTTTCGTTTCAATTTCATGGGGATTAGCCACGAATTTTTTTTATTAGCCTTTGAACGAAGATGCCCCAAAATAGCAGTAAAACTAAGCGCTCATTTCTGAATGTAGCCACCCGCCTCTATCCAAAATAGGTCCGCAATTTTAATTGAAAAGTAGGGCGGGGCGATACCATATACACTACATAGAGGCAAGGTTCACTATAAAGATATATATCTGTAATGTGTATCATATTCATGCAGATTCTTACATCAAAATGGCTTATGTATTGATATTTATGTTTTATTTAAGTTATTAAATTATTAATTGTGAGTTATTATTGTTTATTATTCCTTTTTACTTTTTATTACTTCAGTGTTATTATTATAACTTACAGATGCAAATGCGTTTTGCAACAATCCTTTGCCTTGCCATCCTTCTGTGTCACTCTGGCAAACTCTGCGCTCAAACTGGCGAGCCTGTTCCCACTGAAGCTGACTGTACTGAGTCTCAGGCGTGTCGAGCGTGCTGCCAGGGACCCCCTGCTGGGGTGCCCGGCATGCCAGGCTTGCCGGGCAGCCCAGGTGCTTGTGGACCCAGAGGGCCCAGAGGAGACGCAGGTGAGTCAGGTGAAAAAGTGAGATAGGTGCAGTGGGTACTGTGGTTGAGTAGCGAGCCCCCCCCCCAACCCTGGGCCTATTGGAGACGATAGAAGGCTTTCTACTGCGGTAGAAAAAGGTGCACAGTAGTCCGGTGATTCTGGTAATCAATGTTCTTTTTGGGGGGGTCGGGATTGTTCCCTTTAAAGGCAGGCATTTGAAATGTACAGGTCAGCATCCTAGAGGTTTGATTGCACTAGAAATTAACTCTTACGAAGAAGAGCGAATAGCAAATAACTACATCGAGGTAAAATAAAGAATAAAATTAAACAGGATAATACACACGAATGAATGAGCTAAAAACTCACAACAGTTAAAAATACACGAAAATTAATTGGAAAAAGATATCAATATGACAGTCAGTCTTATGACCATTTCACAACCAAACAGAAAATGCTTATTCAGCAGGTTTGTTATACTCAAAATACTGTTATTTATGTATCTGTGTCGTGTACAGTTTACATGAGTCTACATAACAGTAGTCAACTGGCTGGAATTTCTTTAGTCGGTGGTGGTCATTTATGCAAACCAGTCTCAAATCTGTTTGAACCAAGAACAGACTCGCCAAAATTGAGAGTAAAATGCTCCAGTCTCTTTGATATTAAAGTGATATTCAGTTCACAGCATATTCATGCAATAATTATGAATAAGAACGGTTCTTCGGGTTTGACATGTCACTCGATCACGATTGTCTCTCTGCACCTAGGTACCTGGGAGGGTGAATAACAATTGAATCACTGTCGAGCTGTCTTACACAAACTTCTCTCATGTCCTATCTGTAACAGCAGGATAGCCAATCTCGTGCCTCAGTAATAACTGTTGGGAAACGCTTTGATACTTTTGCGACAAACAATGATAAAGTGCCTTATTGGCCTAAGTATTATTATGACTTTTATTTTTGTCAGGTCCAATAGGACCGCCTGGTTTGGGTGGTCTACACGGGGGAGATGGTGCTAAAGGTCAAAAGGGTGAGCCAGGGGAGTCTCCAGATGTTTCCACCCACCGGGTTGCATTTACGGTGAGAAGGACGACCTCCTCGGATGTCTCTTCGAGCGACAACACTCCTTTGGCCTTCCAGGAGGCCGAGACGCTTCTGCCGGGCACCATCTTTGATTTAGCGACTGGTACATTCACTTGTGATGTGCCGGGCACCTACATGTTTATGTTTTATGTCCTCAGATATTCTGCCAGTGCCCACACAGACGTTCATCTTAGGAAGAACAGCGAATGGATCGTCTCAAGCTTTACGCCCACTGATGGCCAAGCGTCTGGCGGTGCATTGTTGGGTCTACAGAGAGGAGACACAGTGTATCTAACTGTGAGAGGTGGGGCCTGGAGCGAGTCAGTCCAACATTACACCTCTTTCAGTGGTTTTCTCCTTTTCGCCAACTAAACCAACCGACAATGGATATTTGACCGTGAACCGATCCTGTTTGCTAATTGCTTCTTTTCTTAATACTGGCCCAACACCGAAGATGCGAAGTACGTGTTCTTGTAGCGCTTCGAAATTATACACTGACGAATCTTTTGCCTTGTTTCCAAAGTTGCATAGACTAATCCGAAGAGCCACCCATAATTAGGTGGCACCAAGTCCACGCATGTGTTCTTAAAAATTGACGCACATGTGCATTTTGGCAAGACACGTTGACCCTATTCGTCACCCAAATGTGATGAATACTATATCGCTGCCATGCCAGGCATTTCGGTCATTTCTCCATACCGAGAAATGCCAAGACGAAAATCCGGAAATTAGAATGTTTATTAGAATTTCTCGATGAGATGTGGCATATGACAAAAATTTCTTTTTTGCTAGACTTTTGCATTGTTAGTTTTTGCAGTATTTAATCAATTACCAGTTTATAGTGTTACATAAAGTATTTACCAAGTTTATTCTTTTAATTATTAAATATAGACCATTTTCGATGAAGTTTTAAAACAGTCAGAACTTTGAAATGCTGGCAGATGTATTTCAGCTTCGAAATGTTTTGTGCTGCGAATAACTGGGCTTTATTATAACACTCTTAAAGTATCAACTTTCGATTTGAAAGTGTGATGGGCCCTTTAAACAGATATAAAGGTGACATCCTTTATCATCTAATCACACAAAGTAAAGATACGTCAAAAATCCACATTATTTTGTTTTTTACGATTTTGTTCATTTTACCTTATGTTTTGTGGCGTACCCCTCTAGCCTTATCGGTGGTGTGTGGGACAAGCAGTATTAAAGCTTCGTTATACGGCAGTTAAGGTGCTTTGCGTGTGCTTCGCAATATGACGTAGACATTACGCCTTATTTACCAGTCGGCTATCTTGCAAGGAAGGAGAAGCAATATCTGTCAACATTTTTTTCCAAAAACGTAACATGTTGGGACGAAGATGAGATTACCATCCTTGTGATCCGATTGATGGTTCAAAATCATGGAAATAAGGACATGTATTTTTGGTCCAAATGAAAACAATATTTTCAAAGTTAGGCTGTACTTGTAACCATATGGCAAAATAGTCAGGATTTGTTTCCGTTATAAGTGTTCAGTAAATAAATGGTTGTATGGAGCACACTATGATATGAATATTAAAAGCTTATTTCGAATCGAGAAGTCAAGGGGCATGTTTTTTGCCATCGTGACCAAACGCACATTTCTGCTTTGGTCATTGCTTGCCACGTTTTTGTAACTTCAGTTACGACTATGTGACGTCACTGTTCTACCAAACGAGAACCAAAGTTTGGGAGTTAGTTCATCGCTGGTTCAGTATGGTGAAAAATAAGGAGACAGTTTTTGTTGTCTCCCAAATAAATGAATTATTTATCCCTTAATTTGTTTTGCGAACCGAAATTGGTGTTGTTTTCTACAACGTGAACAGTAGCAATGAAAAACCTGAAAAATGACGTTCATCGATAAGGTCGTCTGCTCCATTGTGCCTTGTCTCTGTCGGGTGAAGTAATCATTTCTGGATCTTCGTTTTTGCAGGATAAACGCGTTTCTTAATGGATGGATTAATGGGTAAGGTTCGCCGAAACACGCCCCAGACTCGTTGGTTACATTGTGCATGCTTAAGTGACGATGACTGTCATGAGTGTATAATAGAGTCCACAAAATACAGTCAAACTTTCATGTCAAATCGGGAAAGTGTGTTAACTAACTGGTATTTTTGTCATCTAATAAAAATCTTCCACATGATGGACGTCGACCAATATGACTGGGTGAACCGTCTTAGGTACTTATGAATAATTAATGTAATGGTCTCGTAGTTGAATCATTATTAATCATTTTTGCTCATTATGCTAAAAAGAATCGGTTTCAAAAAGCCAAGATTTGTTTACAGTATCATGAAATTATACTCTTTTATCTGCGAATGGAAAACGATACATCTCATACTGTGACAGAGCAATCTAGTTTAATAGAATAAACCATTTATATTTTGAAGCGCAAACGATATGTGTCCAGGCATATTTTATATTATTAATGGTGTGAAACCTACAGAAGGACGGTTCCAGCATTTCCAAGGGGATTGGTATGACATCAAACGGAGGAATCAAATGGAACCGAACTCGAATACATGAAGGGACAGATAAATTTTTGGTGAAATTTTCTTATGGTGAAGGTATTTCAAAAAACAAATAGCCAGTTCACAGCTAAAGGGGAAACAATGGAAATGGTATTTCGCTTCAAAAATCTGATAGCCCGGTAGTGTGCAATACATGACATAGATGATACTAAAGTGTCGAGAATGAAGTCTTACGCGGCATTTCGCTTTTAGTTATACCGTGTAAAATAGTGAGCATGATTAATAATCCGATAACATTAATCCGTTTTACTCCTCGAAACTGTTCTGTTTGTTTTGTTTTTGTTCTTGTTTGTGTGTTTAGCAGCTGAAAAGAAAAACACTTTATAAACGGTGGAGGATACTTTTACTGATCAGATGTGTGGACCGTCGTTTTTTGGAAAAACATCATTTTTTCCACCGACCCAAGACCTAGACATGTAATTGTCTGGCAACCCCATGTTGCTTGTCGTGATTGAAATTTTAACACTTGTGTTAAACCGTTTGACCCGTTGTCATGCATGGATCAGGACAACCTTTTATGAAAATAAATCAATCAGATAGCATATACATTTGATTTATGAAATAAAGTCAACTTGCAGCCAGCCATTCAAAAATATATATTGATTGGTGCACTGAACTAAATCAAGCTCCATTGAAAACAGTGTAAAATCAATAAAGTTTGGAGCCCAATGGCAGGCTACTGAAGTCCCTGAGGCCTCTCAAACAAAACCAGTGTGTTGTTTGGTCCTTCAAATTTTTATTGGTTTTCAAATTTCAGTGGGTTAACCAATGAAGTTTTAAATTATCCGCCCAAAACAAACTCATCCCCCAAAAAGTGAACGTTCGCAGGTCTTCTCAGCAGCCATTTTTCAAACGTCATACCCACCTTTTTCGGACTCTCCTGACAATTTTTTAGTCACATTTTTGTCCGCTTTGCCCCCAGTTGGGTGCCCCTGAATCAACAGAGGTGATTCTGGGCCGTACTTACACAATTTATTGGCCCACACAGACCCTAATTTCGAAACAATTTGAAGGGGGACTTTTTAAGCGCCTTATCTGACAGAGAATTTCCTTGATTTGGAACAGTGCACCTTTATGAACTCTCCGCATCTGTGTTATAGCGCCATCCCTTGATAAAAATTGGTAAGTCCTGGTCCAGCTGTTTTCTGCTGTTAGTGTCGGTGTCGCTTCAGCTTCTGTCCAGGTAAGCGTCAAATCACTCTCGTACTAGAAAGCAGCCAGATGTCTGTACTGAGTACCAATAGTGAGCATGTGAAATAATTTCAAACTAGAAGAAAGCAGCAGTGTTTGAAGAAGGAATGTGATTATGGTTCTTTTTCGTGCATGTCGTGGGTCGTCTAGAAGTGACGCGTCAGTGCGCGTCGTTTGCGTTCTGTGCAAAGTCTAATTTACAGGCCCAGGCGTACGTGGGACTGGGACGTAAGTGGGAGTCGCCGAACTTTTGTAATGTATTGTTGCTTTAGGCTTAATGCAATTATGTGGAAGGCACATATAAACAAGGGGATTATATTTTTACATTTAGGGCACCTCTACTTGTTTGACTCAGTTGTTCAACATCTTCCAGCTTGTATTGTCAGATTGTAGTCCTATTTATTACTCCTAAGTTAACTATTGCTGCTAATTAAGCGTGGGCTTTTTTTCAGTGTTAGATTAACAGATTGGCATTGTTTATAATAATATTTAGGAGAACACACATAAAAGAGAAAATCTGAAATGTTCACATGGTTATTGGTTAGGGCTAGGGTGAGGAGGGTTGTGTCATCAAGTAGCTCTTGACGGTTTGCATGGTGGAATACGATAAGGTAGAGGGTATGCGGATACACCATGTGGAAAATATCTCTTTTGAGTATGTGTGGTTCTGAAAAGAATCGGTTAGGCCTACTTGACATTTCGGACAGTGAGTGCTCTGTCCATCTTCAGGACTGCCGTGATCCATCGTGCTGCTGCTTATATGCTGTGGGTGACCACTGAGACGTGGGAATTGGGATCCTAGCTAAGGTTGTGTCATGTTCTCTGAGTTACTGGCATGACAGGTCATTGGGTGGGTGGCATTCAGTGAATTTCGTATTGTAAAAAGGTGGCATGAGGATACTACATCCTTCCTATGAAGTGCATGTACATGTACATGTACATCTTATTCCAGCCTTTGCTCTCATTATTTCTCCACTAGTATATGGTCTCGTGTTAGACCTTAATTAACAGGTAAGGCTACTTAAAAAAAAAGGATAATTTAGCATCAGTTGTATGTGCAAAAAATGAGGAGGGAGGAGGTTTTGGTGTTTTGATGCAAGTTGATCTGGACTGCCGCAACCACGGATCAAAAGTGCCATGTTCACTTCAGACTTGTGCACAGAAGTGCACATGACATTGTGTGCATGTACTCACGTCGCATGGTGTGCGTGCACAAGGTAGTGTGGGCGTTGTTGAAACTACAGGGGACAGCTAAGGACTTAAGAAAAGACAACTTTTATAGAAGAAAATAAAAAAACCAAGCGGCAAGTTTTTTGGAGGCGGGCGCTGATGCTAAACTAATTATTTTTTCATGTGGCCTAACTAGGACTCTAGAATTTGCCCCCTTTGGTGTTTGGTCATGATCTGGCAATAGCAGGGACACAATATGACCAAATGTTAAAATGGGCAATTTGTAAATCTGAAGCCAAAGGGGTTTAGTTTTTGGTCCATTGTAACACGTGCAACAGAGGACCAAATTTTTTAAAGGGAGCACAACTTCCCAGTTACTGGTTCTCAAGTGGCAGAATTGTACCACTTGATCAGCAGTTTGAATTTTGATGATATCTTGTTGAAAGTTTCATCATATTATTTTGCAGCACCGTTCAGAAAATAGCATGGCGCATGAAACAGCGAATGGAATAATTGCCAGAATGAATCAGACATTGTTGGCAGTTTTCAATTAGTCATTTTACCCATCAGGTTGCTAATTCTGCCTTGTTGTGTTTTGCTGCACGGGGGCAAAACTTACCTGTGAACCTGGGCATTCTTTAAATATCTGTGCTTTTTCATTTTCTTTTAACTCCATTCATATGCATTCCAGGCTCTCCAAATTAAGCATGAAGTGTGTGAGCAGTGCAGACGGAGTCTTCCATTATGTTCTGGGGGAGCTGTCTTATGATGACTTTGACAAATCAGGTAATAAGAGTGAAGGTTTTTGTGGGTAGTGCAGTTTCTTTTTGTGGTTTTTTGCAGGGTTTTGCTTTCAAATTGTCATGTAATTGCTCTGAACTGCCAGAATGATATCTTCAGAGTTTGAGGTGCTGCTGTTAATAAATGAAGATTGTCAAATATTTGACTTGAAAAGACTGAACCTTTTTATCTCATTCCAAAGAAAACTCAACTTCATAACTCTTTTTTCAAAGAAGGCATTTTGCTAACCTGTCATAAATATAGTGAGTCTGAATTACATACAAGTAGAATCGGTATCTTTAATTGTTGTGCCAGGGAGAATAAGCATGTGGAAGCTGTCGAAACTGGTGGAAGGAGCCCGCCGTGCAAGAAACCAATCTGTCGGTCCCCACTGGGGAGAATTGGACATGCTGGTATTCATGCGGTCCCAATACTTTCAGATTCACCCAGCCTTCCACAATGTCAAGCTCACGCAAAACCACTCTGTGGAGCTGACTTGTACCATGAGTCACCTTGGGCAGACATCGTATTGTTTAGAGTGCAAAGTGTGGGATCTGACCGTGAACAAGCTCTTGGCCACCGTCAGCACCCACGCCGTGTTCATTTCACAGCAGACGCGCCGCCCTATTCCTGTGGCAGCCGAGGCAATGCGGTTGTCCAAGACAGTACCCTCGAGCGAAAAGAGGCCCATTTCTGGGCCCCAGTTTCCAGCACGGCCTGTCCGGTGCTTCAGCCAGACCAGAGCCGTCATGCCTAGTGACACGGATTCCAATCAGCATCTCAATCAAGCCATGTTCATTCGCTTCTGCTTCGACTGTGCCGGCTCTGCTGCCTTGCAAGGAAAGCTATCCGCCTTTAGGAATGACGTCCTCTACGCTGACGCCAAAAGGCTGTGGATCTTGTACATACGCGAGGCCAGGGTCGGTGAGAAGTTGACCCTGTTCTGTTGGGAAGACAGTGATCTGAATCGAACCATTTGGGTTGAAATATGTCTAGAATTCCAGGTTATTGGCCAGTGTCAGATACAATTTTATGAAGGCCTCTGGTGCACAAATTCTGAAGGTGACCATGACAAAGGGTCACCTTTAGCAAAATTGTGAATGTGTGAGAGGACTAAAAAATTCTGCCGCACTGAAAAGGCATTAGCAGAAATATTGTTGCTCTAATTTGATGTATTTGAATGTGATATGTTTAATTTGCAATTTCTACTTTTTTCAGTTCTCATCTTTTGATGGCATAATGTCTTTTTAAGTCCACTTTAAAACAAGACAAATTATAGTTTTTATCTGAAATATTAATTATGGAGTATCAAGTTCAGTACTGCTTTATTTGATTAAATGTGAAAAGAAAGTGGTTTGGCAAAATCAGTCCATTTTGCCAATTTTGAGGAAAACATTGAAATGCAAAACAATGGCAAATTTGAGTCACAATAATTGTCCGAAAAAGCCGAAGCGTACAATACGGGCGATTCACAATAGTGCACCTCCAAGAGTTTGCCAACGTGTTGGCCAATCACGATGCATGAAATCTGTTGACCCAATGCGCATTTGAAAAAGGTCGACAGATTTCGTGTGTTGTGATTGGCCAGTGTATTGCAAACTCTTGGAGGCGCACTGTTGTGAATCACCCGTATTGCTAGACAAGTTTTGAGTGTGAAAGTGTCACTGTGAACAGCCCCCCCCCCACAAAAAAGGGCTAGCCTTAAATTGCTAAAAATTTAGAGAATTGTGTTTAAACCTAGCGTAAGCATATTAGCAATGCACATAATTTTTATAAGGAATTGTTTCGTACAATCTGCAGTCCAGTCTGAAGCATCCATCAGTAGGTGGGTTTTTTAGGGGTGTGGGGGGTGTGTGTGTGCAGGCGTGGCATACATATTGTGGACCTCTGCACAAAAGAAGTCAACATATTGTAGGGTGCGATGGTGTTGTGTGGACTCGACTCGCACACGTCCACACAGTGTTTCCCCCTCTGACAGTTTCAGAGGTATTTTGGGGTCAAGGTTATCGTCGGCAAAATGAAGAGGAACAGTCCAAGTAAAAAATCCAGCTTGAAGGAGTTATCCTGGTGGGAGAAAAAGGAGCATTTTCTTCAAGTTTCCGTAAGCACAGGAGAACAAAGGAATGTCCACACTTTGCATATAAACCCCCAAGCAAAGCTATGTCTCCACGAGGATGCAAATTTTGGGATGGGGTATACATTTGTGTGTGTGTACGTAACAGCGCTTTAGGGCATGAATTTATTGCCAAGTGTTTATTTAGATTTATCTCAAATTTTCTTTAAACAAAATTTCATTTTGTGGTCCGAAGGAATTAATGACCTATATGTATCTACTTTTATATGAGCAATGATTGTCTTGTAATAATGGCAGTATAAAAATAAATGGTTATGTTAAATTGGAAATAAATGCCAGCATTTTTACAGGCATCAAAATCAAACCCAATCACTGCGCCTTTTTCTACTTCATCAGGTGGTTTTTCGTTTTTTTGGTTTGGTATAGTTAGGTTTGGTTTTTGTGTGTGTGTGTGTTTTTCCTCTAATTTTTTCTTTAAACGTTTTACATACTTGAGTCCAATCACATGATTAACAGGATGAACAATGATAAAGGATTTCTTTTATCACGTTTGATTTAAATAGCTTGTGTCTTGGTTTAAATTAAGACTGGATAACTTGGCATCGACTTAAGGACTCGGCTAGAGACCTACATGCACTTGAGTCCCATAAGGGGCCCAGTGTCAAAAATTAAAGTGAAAGGAAAAATTGATACAGTTTGCTCCAAGTTGGGACTTGATCTAACCAGGGCATGTAATGATGTAATTCATTCCATTCGGTGAAACAACCGGGAACTTTCCAGAGACTTTCTCCACTCGGATTCACCATGAACATGTACTATTTTTAGATATACAGGCACTTTTACGGGGGGGAGGCTATTACTGTGGTCGCAGACGCTGGAAATTCTCTTGGCATGAATTCAGCTCGGTGTTACTCATGCCATGGACGCTTGACTTTATAGTGCCGCGCCACCACTCGTCGGAAATTATGTTGAATACAAGTAAAAAATTGGCTGACCGGTTATTAAGGTTGCAGGCCAGTAAATGCATGTACATGAACGTCCAAAATTGCCTGCGCGGACCGAATCACGATTCGTAGGCTGTCAAATTCTCTACTATTGAGCGTTTCGAGGCACGTGGACTGGGTGGTTTGTTAAAATGGTGGATGAAATCCCGGGGCAGGACTGCCAGCTTGTATTTCCGAAAGTATCGGACCAAACGGGACCCTCCAAATTGCTCTATTTTGCAATGGAGTGCAGACACCAATTTTAACATGGCGATGGGCCTCGTGGCTGTTTTGAGGGGTGATATTTTCTCTGGAGAGAAATACCTTCAAAAGTCATCAGGTAAGCCACTAAAAATTGAAAGGAAATGAAAGATGAGGAAGTGAGCTTTGTTTTGATATGTGTCTTGAACACCTATGAAACCTTTGAGTATTTTGCCTGATTTTTGGAAGTGAGGATTTATCACTGTTGTCTATGGCAGTTTAATAACTGGTCTGTATCCTGAACACTGGTCAACACAATAAGGTCAGGTCAGTGAGGTCATGGTCGTACTAGTTCGTTCGCCGTGGGTTTTGGCTTGCAGTTTGTGTCCGTCCTTCCTCCATAGTTGTACTAGCCTGATGCTATGCAATTGTAATACTTGGGGCGGCCGCGGTTGGAAGTTTTCCTTCATGAACGAGCTGCCTCGCTTTTTATTTTAAGCTGGTGTAATTTACGGTAAGTATACCTAGCCTATTTGGGAAGGAAGGTGGGAACGACTCGTACAGTGATTTAGAGGGGTCTCCTAACCACTTGACTAATTGGACCATGGACACGATGCAGTTTGTGTCCTTCCTCCATGCTCTATATGCAAGGAGTAGGACTCGACGAATCGCCTCTCTTTATAATTTGGACATGTTCAGTGAGTAGATTCAGTCATGTCAGTTAGGGAATAGTACTCGGACCATAATGTCAGACTGCAACTAGTAGTAGTACTTGAAGTCTTTTTATTGACTGATCTCACGGAAATGATTTTAAGAAGCATAAACATGTTAAAGTACTAACGTGACTAAGTAGGGTCGAAGTTACTCAGACCATGCTCAGACTGTTCATTTTACTATTATGTAGCTACAGGCCCTTCTGAAATTATTTGGTTGAGATTTTGAAAGAATTCCATATAGGCCTACACAGTATGTAGCCTGACATACCTCACAGGACACCCTGTGCTCAGACTCTAATGCGAGGTCGCCAGGTCCCCAATTTTCATGTTACCTTATTCCCTGTTCTCTAGCAATCATGAAGGGAGGGTATGGCTCAGATGGACTCTTCCATTGCGTAGCAGGGGAGCTGCGTTATGATGACTTTGATAAGGCGGGTAAGCTTTGGTATCTTTTATCCGAGTTTGGTTATTTCAGTCCATTTTTAATGTAGTATTTTGTTATTTGAGGCCCATTGTTCTTATGAAGTTAAGATAATGAAAATTATAAACTGTGCCCGGTTTTCAGGGCCATGGAGCCAGACATTGAAATATTTCTCATGGTGTATGAGTCTGTTTTTCTTTCAAAGATTTTATGCAATTAATTGGTTGACTTCTTTTTTTGTGTGTACACTTTTATCCCACAGGAAAAATTGGCCCCTGGAAAGTGTCCAAGATATTGGAAGGCGTTCGCATGGCTCGTGTCAAAGAACACTTTTCCTCCCTGAAGCAGGATCAGGGCCCAGTGATTATGTTTGTTCGTTCTCATTGGTTCAAAATCTATCCCTCCTTTCACACTCGGCTAGATGAAGATGTGTCTTTGAAATTCAGCAGCTTCACAAGTCACATCGGGAGGACGTCATTCTGCGTGGATGCCAATGTCTGCAGCCTGATCACGGGGGAGTTGATGGCTACCGTCAGTACTCATTCTGTCATGGTCTCTGTGGAAACGCGTCGGCCGACACCAATCCCACCCGAGTTGGTCCAGGTGCAGCAAGTGATCCCACCCAAGGAAAAGCGCCCAGTGTCCGGACCGGAATTCCCACCGCGACCCTCCACCTGCTTCACCCAGAAGAGAACGGTGTTGCCCTCTGACACCGACGCCAACAACCACCTGAACCAGGCGGTGTTCATCCGCTTTTGTTTTGATTGCGCTGGCATGGCGGCCATTGAAGGGAAGTTGCCAAGCTTCGTGGATGACATCATCTACTCCAACACCAAGTCAGTTTGGGTCTTGTATGTTCATGAGGCTGAAGTTGGGGAAGAATTGGCCCTGTCTTGCTGGGAAGACAGTGCTTCGAAGCAAACCATTTGGGTTGAAATCTATCAAGAGTCGCAAGTAGTTGGACAATGCCAAATGCAATTTTATGAAGATGAACTGAACAACTCTACCTCTGAGAGCAAAGAAGTACTTGCAGTTTCAAAACTTTAATTTACTTACATTTCTAGAACTCTAGTGTCTTACAGGTAGTGCAGTGCAGTTTGTAACTGGCTCATGTTTTTATGGGCCTGTTTGTTTTACGCTTATCGAGATCGCGATCAGTGACCTGACATTGGTTCACTGACATCAGAACCTGCCTAATGGATAGCGCAAATCATGTTTTGGATCAATAATCGTTATCCAGATCCATGTGAAACAAACAGACCCTATACTAATATTAAATTGTGCTCTGTTTTTCTAAGCTATAATTTGATTCAGCTTTTTGACAACGGGTGCTTAAATCAGGTTTCTAATCTCCAATGTGTCTGCTAAACTGAGTATTCAAGGGGTGTGTCCAACTATTCTTAAAAGTAAAGTAAATATACATGTAACTTCATGTATGAGTTGAGGAGTAGGTAAGTGTTGGTAAAAGAGTGGCCCATGCTCGTGGGTTAGTTTGTGCATGAGCATTCTTTCTGCAGGACAATTGGTGTCCTTACTGATGTAGTTACTGGAACATTAATATGCATTGGAACGTGATTGCATTTGGAACACGTATTTGCTTTTAGAGTCTAATTTACTAAGGTTCTAATAAGAATCATGTAGGCGTAACTAAATTGCATGATAAAACTTATTTTCTCCGTTTGAAAAGAGGCAATAAAAGTGAGTTTTCATGACAAACTACGTGTATTCCGTAACTTTATTCACGTGAAAATCGGGTAAATCTCCTCAAGGTGATAAAGCTGAATTTATACATAGCAGTATACTCCTCGGTACTAACCGTCGATCTCATTCCATGCAACTCACAGTTCAGGAGGTAACTACTGGGAGCGAGATCTAATACTTGGAACTATTACAAAATATTCTTCATCACTGCCGCCCCCCAAACTGTCGTACATGTACAAAGAATAGTTTTGGGATGGACCATTCACCTTAGAATGGTTTTGTTGCTAGTCTTCACGAGCAAGAGTTCCATATGTTGACGCCACTTGACACCTCGTGTAATAAAACCCTTTGAGACCAGTCCGAAAAATTCTAAATGGTTTCTATTTGTAAGAGACTCGGTATTTTACCTCTTAAATTGAACTTTTCTGGACATGTTTTTGCTTTCTGATGGCCAAAAGGTCATTATAAGGAATAATTACTGGTGTCGGTATATGGAACGTTTTCCTCCTCACGCTTTGCTGAAGCTATTTCCCCTATTGAAATGTCGCACTTTGAAAAAATCACAAGCAGATTTCGTTCAGAAATAGCAGTGTGGGGTGCAGACCACTAATTCAAGTTAGAATTTCTGACCAGCTCATTAGCATTAAAAGTGCCCCCCCAGTATCTTTTGAAAAAGGAGATTGTTTGGCCCCCAAAATGGTGAGATTGTGTAAATCGTTGCCAGGATCAAGTCCCAGGGTCTTTGAGCTTTCATATGAGAGCAGAAGTGCTAAAAACTAGGGTTGAAAAATTGTCCTAAGCGCCCCAGAAAGTTGAGGGTTGCCACTTGAAAAATGGCTGCAATCAGACTCCGGAAAAATCACTTTTTGGGGGGTGATTTTGTTTTGTGGGAATAATTAAAAAT